AGTTGTTTGCTCATATTTACTGTAATATGGTATGGTTTATTTGTTTTTGAACAAAGCTACATAGTATTACATGAGTCTAACCTTTCCAACCACAGTACTGAGAAGGGTGTGTTTCGTATTGTTACCAAACCCTATGCTAAAGTGACAAGCAAGTGTTCGAGACTATCAGCAGCATATGTACATCTCATGTATCCTATTCACACCATTATCAGTGCCACACAGCCTATTCATTGTAACACACATCTTAGTAAAAGGTCATTGAGGACTAGAATAAAAGCTGTACATTGGTTCTATTCACTTGCAAATAATTATAAAAATCCTGCACCCTGGACGATGTTTAAGCAGTAAGTATTAGAGTTAGCATGGTTTTCTCCCATGTAAAATTAACATAGGACCCACCGATATTGACGTACTGTGACATAGTGGTGGATTTAACACAATATGGCCGTATGGTGTAACCAAATCCCCATATTTGTTTGCTAAGATAGGAGATATTAAGTTGTCTTGCATCTTAAAACTATTTTTTTGTGTACGCTGTTCTTTAAGCTGTCTTTAAGCTATACCTTATATAAATTCTGTCCTCAATTCCTCCTTTTTTCCTGTGCAGTTTAAACATAGGCATAGTAAAGGTAAAATTATTTATTCACTGTAAGCTCCTTAGATTAGGCCAGAAGCTTGCACGTGTAGCACACACGAAAAGGAATTGTGATTACGCACAATATCCCAGAATGACCCATTCATTGCCAGGCACAGATAACATAACACAGGTTCCTCTAGAACAAGGGTAGGCAATCTTCGGCACTCCAGATGTTTTGGACTACACCTGCCATGATGCTTTTACAGTCATAATGCTGGCAAAGCATCAAGGGAGATGTAGTCCAAAACATCCTGAGTGCCATAGATTGCCTACCTCTGCTCTAGAGTATCTGTGTGTTCGGTAATCATTGTAGACTGAGGGATTGATGCTCCAGTATTTCCTCTAGTAATCCAGTTTACAGTTTTCATTATTTTACTATTCCCAGCTCCAAGTTAGTTTCCAATTCCTGGCTATCAGTTTTCTTGTGGTTCCCAGATAATTTTTCTTTGCTCTTGCATGTTCATTTTTCTTTATTTTTACCTAGTTTCATTTTCTTCTCATCAGTCATTTCTTATCTCATGAGCCCAGCTACTTTCTTTCCCTGTACCTATAGCCATGTCAGAAGTTCATTTCCTCATTTAGAAGAACTAAACCTTAGAAGATACCACAATCAAACTGTAACAGGGGATCTTGAACCAAGCTTGGCTAACTATGCATTAATAGTGTGTCTATTTCTGGACCTGGAAACTATGCCCAGAGCTGTGCCTGTGGGTTTACACAGACACCATATATGATACACCTCTTCACATGTGATTACTGCTTAGATGTTTCCTGCAGTTGCTGGCTTAGCTCTACGCTAGAATCTAACTGCTGGTGCACCTGGAATTGACTATAATAATCAGGTTACAGGCTGGTTGGTTTAATGACCATTAAAGACTATGGTCCATTTGTAGACCCAGAAAACACCACCAGCAATGAGACAATGCCATCATAAGATGGTAAAACTAGGGGTCTACCTTTTGCTATATCTTGCCCCCATCCCCCCACCCCCCTGTAATATTAAGATACTGTTCTTGTAGCTATAGAGCTTACTTTATTTATGTCTCTTTAAGCCTATTTTTCATTTCTCTTCCAGTACCCGGTCACTTACTAGGCAGCTCCCAAATGTTGTCCTTAGTAACTGTTACAAACATATGTTGCCATCTGTCATGGAAGCTCTCGTGCCACAGCCTGCTGGAGAGGCATGACAGCTAGCCTCCTGCCCACAGGCTATGGGCCTGGTCACAGACTTTAAAATGTATAGGGGTACATTGTGTTAATGGTGAGTTATGTAAAATGTTGAGCTGGAAGAAAGCTATTGCATTATGTAATATTTTGTGCTGTGTGTCTTGGTGTCCAGCAGGAAATTAAGATATCATGTCTTGACCCAATTATTTCCCAGACACCAAGACACCTGGGAGTGGTTTGCATTGTGCTGGCTGAAGACCCCTGTTGTGTGTAGGTGGATAAATGCATGTTTTTCTCTGAAATAAACAGTTCTCTTGTTTTACCCAATACAACTGGTCTTGTTCACTATATTGGGAATTTTACAAAGTTCCAGAGGGCTAGAATCATTGTATGCTGTAGCTGAATCCAGAGGCAGCGGAGGATTAGAGAAGCGGTGACCAAGGATACAGTATGTATCCCAATAAGAAGATTCTCATGGTGCACACCGTCCCCATCGATATCCTGTTCCCCCTAAAGCAATAAGAGACCCTGGAACCCGTGACACAACCATTCTAAAACTATTATTTGTGATCTGCGAAATGACCTCCTAGAGTTCCTTCAAGAAGATTCTCATGGTGCACACCGTCCCCATCGATATCCTGTTTCCCCCTAAAGCAATAAGGCTGTGTGTCCTGAAAACAATTCTTTTTTTTATCTATGTTATATGTAATATTCTCAAGATATTAAATGACTTCTTTACAGATGCTGTATTCCAGCAGATTTCACACACTTAGAACCTCTTACATTTAGCCAAGTTTACTTCGTATGCATCACTGTTATAGATGGTGAACAATTTAATGCAGAATATATTTTTCATTACAAAAAACAAACAAACAAAAAAAAAACTAAAAGTAGATATTTTCTCCCTGTGTTTCCTGGTTTCTATCCACATTTATGACTTCCAGGGTCAACTGGAGATTTGTATATTGTGTAGCATTATTTCCTGGAGATTGTGAATTTTTTTGTTTTCGGTTTAGCTTTTGTCTTACTCCCATTTCTGGTGGAACAAGAGTGCAAATTGTTTACACAGCTAGTGTAACCCCATTTATTCAGAAAAACAAACTTGACGGGCCTTACTCCATTATCTATATGTCCTACAGGACATGGCCACATTGAAAATTTCCAGTTTACCTGCTCTTACCATAACGTTGCTTGCAGGTTCCGGCTGTGTTATGTCAATCACCAAGACCTTTTCAGTGATTTGAAGTGGCCGTCGTGCCTGCAAATAATTGATTTGGAAAAATTTCCAATTCAGCGATTGTCACAACTTAGGCAATTGAAGATTGTTCATGACATGGCCATTATACATAAAGTACTCCACGGCATGTTTTCCCTTCGCATGTAGCAAAATATAATTAGTAATATCATTGTTATATAAAATAATGTTACAATTATCTGTTTGCACCCAAGTGATTTACAAAACAGATGTGTTTTCAGAGCAATGCATTGTGGGCGTGTGTAGGGGCAAAGCATAGCTTTGCACACATGGACGCTTTTACTAGTTCTCTCCACTTGCTGTACCCCATTTATAGGAGGCTTGTGCTTGAAATCTGCTCATGTAGGGACAAAATATTGCCCATTTTGTTAACCTTCAATCATTTTTACTTAAACTTCTTTTCATGAGACCTGAGGGTATACTGCGAGGGACCTCACCCAAGCAAACGTAAAGTGAATACTCACACCTCTACTTCGGTGTACACCTTTTCTGGCAAGACAGTTCATGGGACTCCTTTAATGATACCTCAATGTGAATTTGTTTTGACACCTGTTTGCACCCAACTCTTCTAGACTGGGAGCTTGTTTGAACAGGGCCCTCATTTATGGTCTCACATTTTGCATTTGTCTCATTTTAGTTTTCCCTTTAATATTGTAAAGTGACAGAATATGTTCATGTTATATAAATGCAAAGATATTAAGATGCACAAAATTGCCTAATTTCATTAAAAGGACCACTATAGTGCCCTGAGGGTGCCCCCACCCTCAGTTACCCCCTCCCGACGGGCTCTGGGGAGAGGAAGGGGTTAGACTTACCTCATTCTCCAGCGCCGGGCAGGGAGCTCTCCTCAGTGATGTGCGGCAAGAGCCACGCATTCAGCCAGTCCATAGGAAAGCATTCACAATGCTTTCCTATGGACGCTGCCGTCTTCACTGATTTTCACAGTGAGAAGCATGCAAGCGCCTCTAGCGGCTTTCAAGAGAGCCGCTGGACACACACACACACACACACACACACACACACACACACACACCCCTAGCTGGACCAGGCACCCAGACCACTTCATTAAGCTGAAGTTGTCTGGGTGTCTATAGTGGTCCTTTAAGCAAATAGGACAAGAAAGTCTCATCATATTGCAGACACTTGCTGCGTAAACAAATTGTTTCATTTGATAATTCCTTATTTTGAGAAGGCCTTTATATTCTCTAGGGAGAAAGTTTCACTGAACGGTAATGATTAGACAGTGGTCTGTGGAACAGGTGAAGTGTTTTCTGCATGGTTCAGATCTTTATTCAGATATTCATAGTGTGTTCAAGAGTATTACAATGGGACTATTACTTCATTTATTCAGAAGGGATGTGCTGTCAAACCTTTGTGATAAGGGCCACTTTAGTTTTCTAAAAGACCACTCTGGAATGGAGAGTATTACAAAAAGTATTAGTTTCTCTTGTTTTAAACATTCTAGTTTTGTAGAGTAAGAACTTCTATAAACTTTAAATATAGACCACCCTAACAGCATGTTTTGTTGATTCTAGGTTTTCGCTCACTATACCATAAAAAAACAAAAACAACAAAAACAAAAAAACCCCACACAGTTTCACATGCTTCTAAAACATGACCGTAACATTAAACGGCCAGCTAAATCCTAGAGCCGGAACCCTTTGGTTCACCTGGTGAGGACTAAATTTCCCCTGATTCTTTGCCATCATTGTGGGAAAGGTTTTCCGGGAACCCATTGACTGAAGTTATATCTAATGTCAGGACAGTTGGTGGTCTGGGACACTTTTAGGCAGAATTAGACCATGAGATGTTTATCTTTTAAGAAAGAAAAAAAATTAATTCTAATAAAAAATGTTAATTTATTCATTTTTATAAAACATGTCAATATACAAGTCACATCACAACATATATATAAAATATATAAAATCTGTTTTTATAAAAGCTTATTTCATAGATTAAAAGAGGAAGCCATCTTTTCTTTTTCTGTGTTGTGCCAAGACCGATATCTTAATGTTAACGCCTTGTGTTCACCCAGTGGTATCGATCAACCCGAGGACCTGGGAACGAGATAGGTTGTCTGAAGGATTTAAAACCTTTGTTTGGAAGGTAGAATCCAGTCTGTTGATTATGACGGGGTACATCACTTGTTAAATTCTTTCGACGAGGAAATTGAGACCAAGACTGAATTGGCTGGCTGTAGTCTTTGCACTGGGAGATAAAGATAAAATATCTTAAGAACTAATTGAAGCTTGACCAGTCACTGGACCACAGATCAAATGCCAAGAGGGAAAATTTATACTTTGTGGCTTTTTAAAATATTACTTGCCAATGCCAAACATGAGATACAAAAGGCAAGTGTGTAGCATTTCCTCAATTACATTGGACAGATTTGTTTTACCTGATAAATACTGTTTGGATTGCTGACAGTAGGAATGGTCTTTGGTTCCTTGCTAGTCTCTTCATCAGAAGATGTTCCAGAGTGATAATCAGATGTTGCCTTTTCAACAGCACTGCTAATGCGCTTTGACACATAAGGGTCTTCTTTACCTTTAAAGCTGGCTATTGTAAAGGGGCTATTTTTCTCTCCATATCTGTAGCACAAGTTAAGAAGTGTTAGATGGAGATTAAACACAAGAACCAGCTGTTGCAGTCAAGCCATATTGTGTATCTATAAAATACCTGCAGCACACTTCAAATGGATCTACCCAGATAGTCATTTCTTTTGGCAGACCAAGGTCACTGAAGTCCACATCACTGTCCCGACATGCTTGTTGCAATACGGTGTCGTTGGATTGGAACATATTTATCCTTATGCATCTGGAAAAAGAATTAAGAATAGTATATTGATCACATTAACCCATCTTGCTATAGTTCAGTATGCCTGGATTTAAGTTTTACAGCTGTGCACTGACTGCTTTGAATAAAGAGAGATCAGCAAAGCATTTGTGTTTCAAGCAAGCAGTGTCATCTTCCCACACTCCTAGTTAGACCTATATAACCGAGGGTGTAAGGGTTTAAGTGTGTTAGAAGCCCAAAACAGGTTTTTCTGCCAGCCCAATCCTGCTCCACTGATGTTACTCCCCCCACTGCAGGGGAGGGAGAAAGGTTAGGGAAGACTGGGGGGCTGTGCTGTCATTTTTATCTTTTGCGGTTATGGTACAAGTGCACATTTACCATAAGCCAGCCAAAAACTCAAGTTACTTTAGTCATGTTGCCAGGAGTAACTCTTGCCAAGAGTCCAAGATGGGAAGGATGAACAGAAGGTAAAACATCCCCTCAAAGCTACCTGAAACATGTAGGATCCCATCAAGTTGTCTTTTTTGGTTTTTTTATTGTCTGAAATTAATCTGAATTTAGAAATTCAAGACACGTAAATTCTGCAGCAGACAATTACTGCAATGTTTTGACGAACAGAGCCAAAAATGTTCAGATCCATTAGTTTTCATATTTATATAGTAGAAAAGAGGGACTTCAGCAAAAAAATATATTTTGAACTTTTGGCAGTTTAGAAGATCACTCCTTAATTTAGTACCCTGATGTGGGTTTCCCCTACTTAATACAAAATAAGTTTTGGAAAGATTTATTCTTTTGCTTAAGCTGTGAAGAGTGCTGGCCTCAGCAAGTAAAAAAAAAAAATACCAAAAAAGCTTTGTATGGTAGCACTTTTCACACATAGTACATTTGAAAAATATATAAAGTATTATATTCTTCAGGAGGACACAACTCTTTGTAGACACTACTTTTGTATAAAGAAAGTCATGGTCCTGCCTCTATAAATGTGTCTTCTCCAGTTTTAAATCCTTAAATAATTGCTGCCCAACACTACAACAGCTTTAAGAAATTCACCAAGGGCAGCACTTTTCATGCCCTGCATCCCAAATTTGGTATCTTAAGTAGGGGAACCAACAGAGTACCAATCTGTGAGCCATCCACCAAACAGCACCCTATGGGGAACAACATCCGCATTTTAAAGAATGTTGGGCGAATTTGGGGTCAATTGAGATTAAGTGAAATTCTGAATCATTGAAAACCAAAACTGAACTCCCCTGCCACACATGTCTAGTCCAGACAGTCACTGATAGACTATGGAGCAGGGCCCTGGTGCAACACTATAGTCAGAAGACTTAATATGCAATTTGAACATCTGAAAGAGGCTCAGCTCAAAGCTATAGTATAGGGGAAGTTTTATTTCAAGTTAATCTCATGGTAAATTTAAGTGTTTCAGAGATCCATTATGTGATCTCTTTAGAAGGCGCTTTTCAACGTTACCTGAAAGCTTGTCCTTTTGCTGGATTCTCTTCATACCAATGGGATTTATATTTTGCAAATAAAACGTTCGTCAGTTTGGCAGCAAACCTTTCTGTCTCCAGCTTGCTCAGCTTCCTGTGCTTCTTGACCAGCATTGTGATAAACACAACTGTGGCAGCAATCTCTTCCTTCATTCTTTAATTTAGGCACAGGAGATGGAACAGCTGCAAAGAACAGCGTTTTTACTAGTGGAGAGTTAAAAAAAATCTAGTACATTACCAACTAAGATTCATATTCAATATCCAAGACTCAAATTAGGCAGATTATCCCCATCAGCATCTTGGGTAGTCAAACACGCTGACTAAGAAGAACCAGTAATCACAGTATGGGACTTCCATTGCCCTTAAAGAAACCCAGTCATTATTCCCTCACTATTAGAGCTACTGATTTGTTTAGCTGTCTGATTAAGGCAGGTGGAAGAAAGAAACATGTGTCTTCACAAATGGAGTATGGAAGACATTGATATGATCTGCTCCCCTGTAGGATATTCATTTAGATCACAGATTAGAGAAATACTTTCCTTCCTCACAAAGGGAAAGTGTACAAAGTAGGACACTTACAAGGTCAGTCTAACCACCATGGCCGTCACAACAGATTTCAGTTATGGGATGATGCCAGGGGACACTTGCCACCTTAATAAGTAGCCAAGTAATTTGCTGACAGCTTGACAGTTACCAGACTCTCCATCCACCCTGTTAAGACATTAAAAGCCACCAAGACAGGCAGAACTGAATGCAGAAATAGGAAAATTCTCTAGTTACCATTAATGGAGGACAGACAATAGGGGCTTATAGGACCAAGGCAAGTGTCAAGCCATTCAAAGACTGGATGGCTACTTACCATGGGAATAGTTTCAGGGAACTCATGTAACCATAGTTGCTCCAGCTCACTGCAGTAGATATAACACCTAGACTATACCTTTAACAAGTGTTAAATACCAACCCAAATGCTCTTATCTCTTCTCATCACAGACCAGTGCTAAACCAGCTAGCCAGTGAGACTGCCATAATATATACTGCACAAAGCAATGCAAATTATTAGTTAGTTACACACTCTCTTCATACTAACCTGAGTGTAAGCTTCCTCTATTGTAAAGGGGTTCACTCTGGTTCTGAATTAAATAGGAAGCAATCTAATGCACACAGCTCACATCAGGTGCAATCCATCACTTTGATTAGAAACCAGTTCATCAAACAAGTGTTCTACAAATGGAACTTTGAGGTTATTTACTGACACTAAATTTAAAATCAAATGTAGCTACACATGGTTGGTATGTTTGTAATAGGTTTATCTTGGCTATTTTAGCATTCATTTTGCCATTTTAATTTTAATTTACTACAATTAATAGTTTAATGAGCATCTTTGGGTATTTGATCCGTGAACAAAAACTGGCAACAAATTGGAAAATAATCTCTGTTAGCTACATTTTCTGTTCTGCTATTTTGGTCTGAGATTTCATTTTGAATTAGGACGATTCACAGTTTAATGAATAACACTATAATCACTTCCCCACAATGTCAGCTCTAGGGGTGAAAATAGGATAAATAGGATCGCCAGAACCTTCCACTGATCACATCTCTCTTCCTTGTGATAATATGCAGGTATTATAAAGAATTTCTATTAAAGGGACACTATAGTCACCTGAACAACTTTAGCTAAATGAAGCAGTTTTGGTGTATAGAACATGCCCCTGCAGCCTCACTGCTCAATCCTCTTCTATTTAGGAGTTAAATGCCTTTGTTTATGAACCCTAGTCACACCTCCCTGCATGTGACTTGCACAGCCTTCCATAAACACTTCCTGTAAAGAGAGCCCTATTTAGGCTTTCTTTATTGCAAGTTCTGTTTAATTAAGATTTTCCCCTGCTATGTTAATAGCTTGCTAGACCCTGCAAGAGCCTCCTGTATGTGATTAAAGTTCAATTTAGAGATTGAGATACAATTATTTAAGGTAAATTAAATCTGTTTGAAAGTGAACCCAGTTTTTTTTTCATGCAGGCCCTGTCAATCATAGCCAGGGGAAGTGTGGCTAGGGCTGCATAAACAGAAACAAAGTGAATTAACTCCTAAATGACAGTGAATTGAGCAGTGAAATTGCAAGGGAATGATCTATACACTAAAACTGCTTTATTTAGCTAAAGTAATTTAGGTGACTGTAGTGTTCCTTTAACCAACAGTGCAAATAAGTGCTGTATTAGAGAGTTACTATACACCTTTTCTTCACGCTCTTTTTTTAAATCTTCATTCTGGGATATTGGGCACTATTGACCTTGTACACCTGCTTGTTTATTAAATAAATAAGTCCCTATTACATAGATTAAGTTACATAAAAACCAGCGCCGGCTGAGGGTCTTCTCACTTCATCTTCAACCCATGCCTATCATCCATGGCCCAATCCAATGCTGGTTATAGAGGAGCATTTGATTGGTCCGTTTCATCGACTCAAAGCACATTAGCTCCCTGTGTGCCAGTGAAGGGGAGGAGGACCGAAGGAGGGATCAATTATTGAAAATGGAGGGAGCTCATGGAGGGATGGGATCCTGAAACTTCCCCTTGCATGCTCACTGCCTGCAAGGGAGAAACTCATTACATCTATTGCCAATGCACACTGTGTGCTGACGACAGACATAATTTTATTAATGACACGGAGGCTCATATTATGCTTTCTCTTTCTTTTATTATTCTCCTCAGCAGCAAGAATTTAACTTGAAAGAGAATAAAAACGAAATAACATAAGTAATCTGCCTAGTAACAGGGCAGCCAATCATATACATTTATCAACATTAAGTGTCTTGAACAGTCTTCTAACTTCCTCTTTCTTGCTGCTCCTCAGATCAGATAAGTGACTTTTTTCTATACTCTTACACTTTTTCATTACACACATAATTTTTGTTAATATCACTTTAAATGTTGTAGGTTTTAATGTTTCATGTTGTTCATTTCTATGTTGTCCCTGTTTCAGGGTCAGTATTATAGTGCTTAGCTCTGCTTAGGCTCAGACATTTTCCCTCTCTCCCTGGCTTTCACTAACTGCCAGGGCTGAGAGGGGTCTGACAGGCTGTGAGACCGCACCGCCCGCGCGTCTGCGGTCTCACTAGTGCCCTCCCTCCCTCCCTTCTGTGTAATTGCCGGCACCCGCTTAGACATCCCAGCGGGTGCCGAGCAGCTCTATCTCCCTCTTTTCCCCTGCCGGGTTTACTTCCGCCCGGCGGTCTGAGGCCGCGGGGAGCTCTCTCCTCGCGGCCATTACTGGAGGGGGGGTGGAGCAAGTTCGCCTTCGGCGCGCTTCTCTTCTCTGAAGCGCGGGAAGGCTGAACGGCTCCTAGTTGCTCCTGCTGCCCTCCGTGGGCAAGGTTGTACGGTTTCTATTTTCCCATATTTGCTTCTAAGGGTTAATCAACCCCTTTTTCTCACTACCCTTCTCTTTGTTTGTTTGTTTGTATCCTGTAAGTTTTTTCTGCACTTTAGTCTGTAACTGACTGTGTGCTGGGGGTTTGTTTCTGGGTTAATTTAATTTAAAGACATCTCTCCCAATAAATAAAAAATAAAATAAAAAAAAAATAAATACATTTTGTTTGTAACAGACATTACTGATAGTAACTCAAAAAAATAAAAATAAAAATAAAAAAATAATAATAATAATAATAAAGGAAAACCCTGTGGGATTTATCCAGACCTGTTGCTCCCTGCCTAGCACACATATTCAGTCATTCCCATTCAGTCATTTCCATTGGTTGCACACCTATTCAGTCATTCCCATTGGTGAATTGGATAATACAATGCAAAATCACGGGGATAGACATGGGGGCCCTGGATGCCCTAATATAGAGAATACCTTACCCACCCCTGGCCTAGACCCGGGTCATTTACCCTCTCAGGAATTCCAGTCTCTCCTGGAATCAACTATGGCCGGTTCGGTCCAGCGAGCCTTGGCTTCAGCCAGGGGCTCGGTGTCCACCTCCCTATCCCATTCTCTGGCCCAGGCACTCATGTTGCCCCCTGAGGTGCAACCTACTATAACGGCCCAAACTGATATACCAGTCCCTGCGGCCCGCAAGGCAAAAGCCAAGACTAAGCATACATCAACGCTCCCACTGATGCAGGTCTCCCCTGCCATGACTGACCCGCCTATGGCGGTCCTAGATGGCGTGTTGCCACGCACAAGAGCCACTGGTCGGGCGCAAGCGGCCAGAAATTGGAAACGGGCACGTGCCCAATACGAAGAGTCAGATTCTGACAATAGTGAGGAGATGGGGTCAGACGACCCGGATTATATTTACAATGCTATGGCTTCTGACTCAGATGAGGAGTCTAGTCCTGTAGTGGAACCGACGGGTGTGGAGGATGGTGTTCGGGACCCTCAAGGGTATCCCCTGTTCGACCCGGACAACCTCCGCCACCCTCGCTCGGCGGAGTGGGACCCGCCAACGCACATTGCGCAGTATTTGGCGCTCCGTCTGCGTACCCCTCTCTCTAACGAGAGTAGGAATAAACTCCGGGCAGAGTGTCCCAGACCCTCCGTACCAGACATGGCCTGCAAAACCCCCATGGTGGACCCACATATCGCCCAATTCCTCTCAAAATCTGGCTGGAAGCCCAAGAAGGGGCTGGAGTTCTCACTCCACAGCTGTCAAGACAAAATACTAGACACCCTGGGGCCAACCACAAAATTATATGAATTACTCGAATCCGCTAAAGCGGGAGAGTCCACCATTGATTTCGATGTAGCCATCGGATGGGTCCAACGGCTTATCTGCTTGTTGGGTAATGCCAACACAGCCATCTCGGCGGAACGCCGTAAATCAATCCTACTTAAGATTGAACCTAAGTTGATTAACTTGGCAAATAGAGAACCTGGACCCACAGCCCAGGGAATGTTATTTGGAGAGTCCTTTGTCAAGGACATCGGGGCTTTTGTCAAAACTTTTACTACTTTAGATAAGGCTCAGGCCAACCTTAAGAAAGTGTTTAACCCCAAGGTTTTGCACGGGGCCGGGAGATCTAGGAGCCGTCCACCCGGCCGAGTCTATCGGGGCCCCTCCAGGGCCCATAGAGGCTCCTTCGGAGCGCCCCGCACGTACCAGGAGTTCCGTCCGTCACCCTTCTTTCCGTCCAGGGGACGTCCATGGCCTTCTCGGGGAAGCCGCAGGCAATCTACTTACAGGCGACCTTACGGTAAGTGCAATATCTCTCATTCCTCCACATCTACACATAGGGGGCAGGCTCGCGCTGTTTGCGCATGCATGGGACGAGCTCACAAAAGACGCTTGGGTGTTACAAACCGTCAGGGGTTTCTATCTCGACCTTTTATCTACCCCATTCCAAATCCATGCCCCAAGAGAACTGACACTGGCCCCAGACCAAACCAAACTCATAACAAAGGAGATTACAGATCTCCATGCCAAACGGGCAATCCAAGAGATCCCATACGATACACCAGGTTTTACCAGCAACTTATTTTTGGTAGCCAAAAAAGGCGGAGGTATGTGGCCAGTCATAAACTTAAAGGAACTCAATGCGTTCCTCGCATACCAACACTTCAAAATGGAGGGCATTCATTGCCTCAGAGATTTACTACAACAGGGAGATTGGATGGTCAAATTGGACCTCAAGGACGCGTACCTCACCGTCCCTATTGCGGAGGCACACTGGGACCTCTTGCATTTCACATGGCTAGGGCGACGTTGGAGATTTACATGTCTGCCCTTCGGTCTCTCATCGGCCCCCTGGTGCTTCACAAAACTCATGAAGCCTGTGGTAGCCTTTCTCAGAGCACGAGGAGTTCGTCTGATCATATATCTGGACGATATTTTAATCATGGCATCCTCACAAGACCAAGTACTGCTCCACCTACAGTGGACCATCACGTTACTCGAGACTCTGGGCTTTTTGATAAATTGGGAAAAATCCATAACCAATCCGGCCCAAAAGATAGAGTTCCTGGGATTCCAGATCGACGCAATCTCACAATTCTTACTCCTCCCGGAAACGAAATTGAAGGCCATCAAAAAAGAGATCAAGCGCACATTACGAGCTCAATCTCTCTCTATTCGACAACTAGCTCGAGTCTTAGGACTACTGGCTTCCTCGATACAAGCCATCTTCCCAGGGCCTCTACACTATCGTGCCCTACAGCGGCTAAAAGGTTCTCACCTCAGGTCCGGCCGTTAATACGAATCCGCACTAGTCCTGGATGTGGAATCACGGGAGGAGCTGAGGTGGTGGCTAGACCATATGGAGGCGTGGAACGGCCGAGCAATATTTGGAACCAGCCCGGACCTGATTATAGAATCGGATGCAAGCCTCCATGGCTGGGGCGCGCGTTGTGGCAACATATCCACCGGTGGCAGATGGTCCATGGAGGAATCCACAATGCACATAAATTGCCTGGAACTTCTGGCAGGATCGTTCGCCGTCCGCAGTCTCTCCCCTACGGTAGGGAGATGTTGTATACTGCTCCGTATGGACAACATCTCGGCAGTCCGTTATATCAATCATCTAGGAGGCACCAAATCCAAACGACTAGCAAACCTAGCGAAAGAATTTTGGCAGTTTTGCCTTCGGAACGAGATTGCGGTGACAGCGGAACACATTCCGGGCTTGGACAACGTACAAGCGGACTGGAATTCCAGATATCTGAGAGATCCGGGAGACTGGCGCCTTCTCCGCTCTACCTTTTGCCAAATAGACGAATTGTGGGGACCACTGGACGTAGACCTTTTTGCATCCAGACTGAACAGTCATCTGCCTCGATACTTCAGCTGGCGACCAGATCCAACAGCCTCGGGGACGGATGCTTTCCTGCAGACGTGGCCGAAGTCTCGACATTACGCATTTCCCCCTTTCAATCTCATTTCCAGGACACTATCATACCTATGCACACAGGACTGTTCACTAGTGATAGTGGTTCCACTATGGCATGCTCAGCCGTGGTTTCCTCGTCTACTAGAAATGGCAATCGACTCTCCACGAGTAATACCATCAACACCAGACTTGCTATTGGATCCAGAGGGGAATCCGCACAACCTGATCAATCAGGGCTTGCTGCAACTCACGGTCTGGTTGATTTCCGGAGTCCCTGGACGTTCACAGACATTCCACAGACGGTTACAAGACTCATGGATAACTCCTGGGCTCCAGGGACCAGAGCAGCCTATAACTCTGCTTGGCGAGTGTGGGCTAGCTGGTGCATGGAACGGTCAGTGGATCCGGTTTCAGCACCTCTGAAAGAAGTACTGGAGTTTTTGACGTCCCTTTTCGAAGAAGGAAGAGCGTATCGTACCATTAACGTGTACAGGTCGGCGATCTCGGCAGGACACCGAAACCTGGAAGGCTCCCCGATCGGTCAGCATCCTTTCGTTTGTAGACTCCTGAAGGGGATACGCTTTGAGAAACCTCCACAGACCCGCTATTCTTCATTCTGGGATGTCAACATTGTCTTACACTTCTTGGAAGAATGGAGGCCAAATGAGGAACTCTCCCTTAAACACCTGTCTTGGAAATTGCTGACTCTGTTATGCTTACTGTCCTGCAAGAGGATATCGGACGTGCGAGCCTTGGACTGGGACGCATTATCATTCACCCCAGAGGGAGTGTCATTCTCCATATCGAGACGAACTAAAGGCAATACAAAATCTATCTCTTACCCGAGATACCCGGGACATCCCTCACTTTGTCCGGTCAGATGCCTTCGGTCCTACCTGGATCGTACTCAGAAGTTACGCTCACCTGCATCAAGTCAATTATTTATATCCTTTCGAACCCCTTTTCTACCAGTGTCCACGCCCACGTTAGCTCGTTGGGTCAAGAACCTGTTAGCATTAACAGGAATTGACACTTCGAAATTCTCTGCACATTCGGTGAGAGGCGCGATGGCATCCAAGGCGTCAACGATTGGTTGCCGCCTCGAGGACATATTAAAGGCCGCTGATTGGTCACAAGTATCGACGTTCAGAGAATTCTATTTTCGCCCAATTGAACATATCTCTCTTCAGGTAGTGGCCAAGCTTTGAACTAGCATAATATGAGCCTCCGTGTCATTAATAAAATTCCAAGATTTTACTAGTAACATGACGTAAAGTCATGATTTTATTAATGACACGGAGGCGAGTATTATCCCCACCCACCCACCCGGTGGGCGTGAGACAGTCTATAAGGAGAGTCTTAAGACTCTCGCAAAGGTAAGTAACAAGGAATTTCAAGGGCATGTACACCATCCTTCTTATGTACACACATAACTTGTTTTATCAGTTTGTTATATCAATTGTAAGGAACATAAGGAATAAGGATAACATACAGTTCCAAAGTTTGGATTTTACCGTACATTCTCTTTGTTTCCACAGCGTAACGTACTGGACACAGACTGGGTGGAATATCGGAAGTTATGGAAAGTTACGACGGCTCTTCGTCGACACAGACAAGAAAGAGGAAGTTAGAAGACTGTTCAAGACACTTAATGTTGATAAATGTATATGATTGGCTGCCCTGTTACTAGGCAGATTACTTATGTTATTTCGTTTTTATTCTCTTTCAAGTTAAATTCTTGCTGCTGAGGAGAATAATAAAAGAAAGAGAAAGCATAATACTCGCCTCCGTGTCATTAATAAAATCATGACTTTACGTCATGTTACTAGTAAAATCTTGGAATTTTTGCTCAGAACTGATGTTAGGCAGCCTGGAACACAGTTCTGGGCTGCCTAAGTCACATATTCCAGGGATGCACCTAGGTGACATGTGACCACTGAGACGCTGCACATACAGACTCCTACCACCATGACCACTTCTAAAACCAGAAGTGGTCATGGTGGTTAGAGTAACCGATTAAGTAATACATGGAATTCCTGGCAGCCTCAAATGTAAATAATACAGTCCAGCCTGTAAAATAATGGTTATATTTCTATATTCTGGTTTAATTTAATCTATGAATAATACATATTAGCTCCCAGAACGATTTTAGTATTTTTTTTATTTTTGTTTTATAATTCTCGGACAGGCTACATAGGGGTAAGGGAGAGCGCCCCCTGGGGAACTGTTGACACAGGGTCTAACACTTATGTGCAGCATGTTTCCAGTAATGCCTTCATTGCATAGTTCCTATAATAAGGTAACAGATGTAGAGAATGAGGCTGCCACTTGGGATCCCCTGTGAAGCACGATTTGTATTCTCTTTTGAAAAAGTAAATCCCATTAAATATGAGATGTGTATCTTTTCTGTGTATTCACATGATTACATTGCATTTACAAGCTGAGTTTAAAAATGAATGTAAATGCTTGTTTTCTTATTTCCTTCTTTTTTTTAAAATTTTTAAGAAAACAAAAGACAGCATCACATTAGAAAATGAACACAAGTTATAGCTGATTTTCAATGGTTTATTAAGTTGTGTAGTTTCCAGGGATCAGATGTAAAGACATCTCTAATTATCTGCTTTGAGTTAAAGTGCATAAAAATGGCTCAAATATCCACCTAAATATCTTAAATTTCCGACTCCAAGCAATTATACAGGGTGAAGTACTCAGTGCTAACAAAATGCACATTGTATGTATCACCATTTGTCGTCAGCGATCTATTACATGACATACATGCTCAAAATTACATATTCAACCTGTCTATAAAAAAATATCAAATATCAGCCTAAATCTGATAGTTTCTTATGATTCACACAGTGTTCGCAGTACAATATGTAAATGTGAAATGGTATATTTACAAATCAACATGACTTAAGTTACATTGCTTTTTAAAATGATATGATTTTTTTTTTTTTGTCATGAAATTGATACGTGTTTTGAGTGTTATATGTTTGAAAAAAAATATGAAAATATGCAAACATTGAAACCCAAATCGTCTCCCAGCCCTCAAGTGAGAATTGAATTCTTAGTCTTGTAGCCATACTTGCTCACTTTCTTGGTATAAATGCTCCTGTTTTGTTTTGGCCAAGCAGACATCTACAAGACACATTGCCACCATGCTGTCTTCTCCGGGTGAGTTCAATAAATGCATAAGCCTCTTTAATTTGGTAAATTTCATGAACTACGTATTATTCGATAAAGAAAACGCATTGACAATCTAGCTCTGTGATCTTATAGTATAAACGATCCTGTCTTGTTTTGAACAAACTGAAACCTGTCACTGTGGTATCTTTTCACGACCAGTCCTATAAACCCATGGGATCTTTCATTTGGTACATTTTAAGAAATAAAGTGAATGATCAAACAACATACTGCTTTCATTTTCTTGGTATAAAAGTTCCTATTTAGTTTTGTGTCTGGTAGTGACTCTAAGATCAATGAATTTCCCATATAGCTGCTGGTTGATGACATCTCTTACTCAAACAAACATATCTGCTTAGTTAGAAGGGAAATGTTTTGCCAAGCTAATTGTTATGCTTTTTATTCTGGCTTTCAGTGAACAAATTCTAAAATATCTGTAAATAGATTGTAATCACTGAGTTTTTACATGTTCATTTATTTTTGTAGGTAGTGTATTCAGTCGATTACATTTGCATAGACATGCCTCTTTGTCTAGGTAATATAAGAACATTAACAAATTCTGTTCTGCAGACCATTAATAGTCCACTGGTCCTTTCAAAGCGGTCTTTATGATGAAACACAACATGATTGAGAGAGTTTTAGTTTTAGATGATATCGCGCATGATGAGATGACACAGCAATGTTATAGCTTACCCTTATAGTATATTATAGTAAAGCATTGTAAATGTAAATGTATCTTATCGTTATGTTTAATCCCGTATTTATTCTTGATTATAGCAAACAACACAGAACTGGGTAGTGTTTATCAGATTTCAACCCTCTTGTAAAATAACAGAGAAGAAACTTTGGGCATTTTTCACTAAACACCAAATTGTAGATTGTAAAAATCGAAAAGCAAAATTAATGCAGAAACTGTGACTATAGTTATGTTGCAGCTTTTCTTTAAAATCAGCATATTTGCATAATTTTTGTTATTTGAATTTTATTTCACCACAATTCAGTGTTTAGTGAACAAACCCCCTTGAGAACTTGCAGTCTGAAAAATACAACTGTTGCCCAACCTGAAAGGGTAGCAATTACAGTCACAGGGCTGGATTCTGTTACTAGAGATATAACTCTGCTTACTGAATAGCAATGGTTAAATTGCTATTTAAAGGGACGCTACAGTCACCAGAACCACTAGAGCTTAATGCAGTGGTTCTGTTATCAATAGATATTCCCTGCGGCCTTAGCACGCTAAACTCTGTTCAGAGATAATGCAGGGTTTATATTGCTGCCTAGTAAAACCTCTAGGTGCAGTCACTCAGACGGCCACTAGAGGTGCTTCCTGTGTTAATGTTGCACAGTGTGCAGCACCTACATTCAGCATCTCAAATCTCTGCATGGAGGTACTAACGTTCCCGTAGAGAGGCATTGATTCAATGCATCATTATGAAAAGATGCTGATGCTGATTTCTCCTATGAGAAAGCATTGGATTGTGTGAGATCATTAACACTGACAATCTCAGCCATGGAGGTGGGACCATGCAGGAAAAGCCGTGTCACGACTAGAGTGGCGCGGGAGAAAAGGTGAGTAAAAACATAAATGGGGGTGGGGGTTGGGGGGGGGGGCGTAATGCTGCATTCTTGACACTATAGTGTTCCTTTAAGAAGCAGAGGAAAATGCATGACCCCATGCAGAATAGAGCACACATTGTAAGTGTTTTGTAATATTTTAGTTAATGCTGATTGTTTTAAAATCTTTAACATTGTTAACATTCTGCAATGGATCTTTTTTAGGTTCTTTGAATTTTGTTGCAGTTCTGATTGCCATTGGTTTAGCTGCACAGCAATGTGTTGGACAATCCTTGAATTGCTCATCTGAGTACAACAGATATCCAAGTTTGTATTTCACATTATCTTTTTTTCCTGCTTATAAAAATTGGGGTAAACTTTAAATGATATGGTGCTGTACAATTATAACTGATACCACAGCAGTGATACATAGTTACATAGCTGAAAAGAAACAGCCTTTCTCACATCTGTTTTTGCTATTAATCCATTAAATTGATCGAAAAGAAGTAAAAAAAAACACACAAAAAAAAAACAACAACAAACTAGGAAAATTCATTCTTGACCTCAGAAAGGCAGTTAGATATCTCCTTGGATCAAGAAGCTATTACCCCACAAAAAAAACAAAATTGCATTGCTGTACATTATATTTTTGCAAATATGCATCCAGTTGCTGTTTAAACATTTGTATAGACTCCGATAAAACCACATTTTAGGGTAGAGAACTCCACAGCCTTATTGTTCTTACTGTAAAAAAAACCTTTCCTTTGCCTTAGACTAAATCTCCTTTTTTCTAGTCTGAATGTGTGACCTCGTGTCCCATGTATGGTCATGTTTATGAATAGATATCAAGACAATGGTTTGTATGGCACCAGATATATTTGTATAATGCTAACATATCCCCTCCAGTGATTTAAGAGGCAAAATTATATTTTCATCCAAATAATTAATTAATTTGTGCATAATTAAATGTACTAAGCATTATCTTTACAAGTTAATGTTTAATTGATTTTGCATGTTTTCCATAATATTTTTTTTACAGACAATAGTGACATCACTGTAAACTGTGGTCCATCTACGATTGAACTGGTGATAATTGCCTGCCCAGTTCAGTATGCCATGTTTAATCCTGATCAGCTGGCACTGAATAGCAAATACAACATGAGTAACTGCTTGGCAACTCTGGATACAACTGTAAACCCTCCAGTAGTGAGATATTCGTTCCCACTAAATGATACCACCGCCAACAGCTGTGGAAACACTATCCAAGTAAGTATGTGCAACCTACCTTAGTGATTCACATTACATGTGCAGTGAACTACATTCTCTACAGACAGTGTGTGGTTTGCTGGGTAGGCTGTGGCCTACATTTCCCACAATGCATCCAAACTACTGGCACATTATGATGGGTATGGTAGAACCCAGTCTTTGGATTGGCAAAAACATCCCTTCAGGTTTTATGATCTCCATCTCCCATTATTTATGGTTAATCTTTAAGGATGATATCGTGAGCCTCGCAGATATTGTTAACATCTGTTAAACGTGGATTCACCTCCCCTAGCTTCAGAACAGTAGGACAAAACCTAATCAATTTAAAACATACTTTCCAGTTATAAAATGCTTAGGTAATAGTGTGTCAAAATACCAAAAGTCACAATGTAAAATAAAAGATAACTAAAGGAGCACTCTAAATACCAAAACAACATTCACTTAATAAAGTGGTTTTGGTGTATAGCCCTTGCAGTCTCAATATTTAATTCACAAAGGTAAATCTCTTTGTTAATGCAGCCTGAGCCTCACCTTCCCTCCCATGGTGGAGTCTCACTCAGACTTCCTGTAAAGCAGGGATGCCTAAAGTTAGATCTCTAGATGTTTTAAATCTACAGCTTCTAAAGGCATGCAAAGCGTCATGGGAGTTGTAGTTCTACAACGTCTTGGGTTCTACCATTTGGGCACCCATGCTGTAAAGAGAGATCTAATTTTTAAACTTTCTTTAGTTTAAATTAGAATTTCATATCACCTTCTGTGTTAATAGCCTGCTATAGCATGCAGGAGCCTCCTATGTGTGATTAAAGCTCAATTAACAGAGCAGGAGAAAATAACTTCTAAAGTAAACACACTGCGCTGTACGATCCGATTGAACATAAATAAACTGTTCATGTTGACTGTGTGTTACAGCCATGGGAGGTGTGGATAGGGCTCAATGCACAGAAATAAAATGATATAACTCCTAAATGGCAGAGAATTGAGCAGTGTGATTGCATGGGGCATGATATATACAGTAAAACTGCATTGTCAAGCTAAAGTTGTATCCCGTTAAATATAATTTCAGAGGCAGGTAATACTAGTACTGCTACTAGAACTACTACTTAAACTACTACTAATTATTATTATTATTACTATTATTATTATTATTATTATTAAGTAACCCAGATAGTTATATTTAGGTTGTCACTGATTTCCAAATATGTTCTGGGATCTAGATAGTATTATTACTCAACTTTAAGGAACACTATAGGGTCAGGAACGCAAACATGTATTCCTGATCCTATAGTGTTAAAACCACCATTTAGGCGACTTGCCCCTCTTAGCCCCCTTACAAAGCATTAAAACTAACCTTATTTCCAGTGCCGCACATGTCTGATGGCGCTGGCCCCACCCCGGTGTGCCTATTTGGCTGACATAATTAGAATTGATGATCTCAGCCAATCCAATGATTCCCCATATGATTGGATTAGTTGAGATCCTCAAGGAAACGTTACAGGGCCCTGGCCAATCAGAATTTCCTCATAGAGATGCATTGAATAAATGCATCTCTATGAGGAAAGTTCAGCATCTCCATGCAGAGGGTGTTGTGCAGAACTGCCCCATGAAGCACCTCTAGTAGCCGTCTGAGGACTGGCCTGCAGGACAGGCTATAGACACCAGAACCACTGCAATAAGTTGTAGTTTTGCTGGTGATTATAATGTTTCTTCAATAGTATTTTATTGAGACAAAGATGACTTGACTGGAATGGAACTCGTGACTGCATCTTGGACTACAATACAACATATATTATACCAAACTAACTCTAATCTATTTTTCTTCAAAAGTGTAGAAATGTAGTTTCAATGGTACAATGCAGTTTTTGTATTAAATGTTTACTCCAGCAACCATGGTAGAAAGAGGATCCAGGCACTCCAAGTATCTTCAAATTTATTTATTTGGACAAGTGAGACACTGCAACGTTTCGACCCCTGAAAGGGTCTTTGTCAAACTTGACAAAGACATTTCAGGGTTTGAAACGTTGCGATGTCTCACTTATCCAAATAAATACCTGCAAGAGGAAGCTCTATACATCAGTTACCAGTGTGCACTGCACACTGACAATGTACACATTTTATGCACAGAATTAAAATTAAGTAGCCCGGAACAGGGTTCTGGGCTGCCAAAGCCACTTGGGCTGAGGGTGCAACTATCACTCAGCACACAACTGCCAATATCTCATTAAGTGCAGTGTTTAAAGCTGAAATACTGCACATACAGACTCCTACCACCATGAACACTCCTAAAAGCGGTGGTTCTGGATTTTAGAGTAAGTAGAGGTAATCATGGTTGCTGGAGTATTTGCAAAAAGAGAAAAAAACTGAAAAAAAGAAAAAAAAATGAACCGCACTTCAATCATGTGAAGATCCGGGTGCTAAACTGGACCAAGGGCCAGCACCAGCCCCAGTGAGTAGATATCAGTGGTAGAAAGAGGATCCGGGCACTCCAAGTATCTTCAAATGTATATATTTGGACAAGTGAGAAACTGCAACGTTTCGACCCCTGAAAGGGTCTTTGTCAAGCTTGACAAAGACCCTTTCAGGGGTTGAAACACTGCACTTAATGAGATATTGGCAATTGTGTGCAGACTGCTAGTTGCACCCCCAGCTTTGGCAGCCCAGAACCCTGTTCCAGGCTACTTAATTTGAATTCTGTGCATGAAATATGTCCATTGTCAGTGCTCAGTGCACGCTGGTAACTGATATTTTTGAGCTTCCTCTTGCAGGTAGAGCCTACAAGGGGAAACCTGGATGTAACCTCCCTCCCTTTTTTCGTACAGTCCTCCCGGCTTACCCAATCAGTGCAAGTTTTTGTTTTTCAATTTCCTATTCCTCTACCTTCCTCTCTTCACTGCCTCTGTGTTCTAAGACGGCTATATAGGCTTCTGTATGAGAAGCCTTTGATTGGACTTTGCATGGCTCCCGTGCTGTCATGTCTTACTGTCATGAAGGGGAGTGGAACGCAATGCTGGTAAAATTCTTTTATTTTTAATAGTAATAAGGGGTAGGGGTTTTAAAGAATAATGTCCAGTAAGGCATTATTCTTTATAAAAATGTATATAGAAAAAATGTTGGAGTAACCCTTTAAAGTGCACAGGAAACTAGATATTACATTCTTATGCCAGTATTTTGTATAAAATGAGTGGCTACCTAATGATTGTTTTTATAATTTTCCAGATTGCAGACAATCCTGGAACTGGAATCTTCAATGATTATTTGACAGTCCAAACTGTAATCATCTCAGGCTCTGTATCAACTCCACCATCTAATGAAACTGGACTCATTAGCTACAGTACTAATTTGGTGTATGACTTCTCATGCAGCTATCCACTCCAGTATTTGCTTAATAACACCGAACTTTTCTCGTGAGTACACAGTATTATGACTGTAAGGAAACTGAAGAATGACTTTAATTATTTGGTGTTGGAGGTTTATTTATCCATATTTTTGTTTTACATAGTAACATATAGCACTATAATGCTAGACACACACACGCACTCACGCACAAACACAGACACACACTACTACACCCAGACACAGACAAGAATACTCACTGCCAGACACATACAAACACACACAGACACACACACACACACACACACACACACACACACACAAACACTCATACACACACACAGGCAATGCCAGAAACACACATAAACTGCTTGACATACACCCTGCCAAACACATACAACTGGCCAGATAGCAACACACTGCCAGATACACACTGCTAGAAACACAAACACTAACAGATACAGATACACATTCACTGCCAGATACACACTGCTAGAAACACAAACACTAACAGATACAGATACACATTCACTGCCAGATACACACTGCTAGAAACACAAACACTAACAGATACAGATACACATCCACTGCCAGATACACACTACTAGAAACACAAATACTAACAGATACACATGCACTGTCAGATACACACTGCTAGAAACACAAACACTAACAGATACACATGCACTGCCAGATACACACTGCTAGAAACACAAACAATAACAGATACACACACACTGCCAGATACACACTGCTAGAAACACAAACACTAACAGATACACATACACTGCCAGATACACACTGCTAGAAACACAAACACTAACAGATACACATACACTGCCAGATACACACTGCTAGAAACACAAACACTAACAGATACACACACACTGCCAGATACACACTGCTAGAAACACAAACACTCACAGATACACATACACTGCCAGATACACTCTGCGAGAAACACAAACAATAACAGATACACACACACTGCCAGATACACACTGCTAGAAACACAAACACTAACAGTTACACATACACTGCCAGATAGATATGTACTGGCAGACAAGCACACATTCATTCTGGCAGACAAGCACACATAATCTTGTGTTAGCTACCCTATTTGCCAACTACTTTACATTTGAAGGGGTCTAGTGAGATTCTGTCTACTAAGGGCTGTGGGATTCATTCTTCCCTCCGAAACAATATGCAAACAATAAACGCTGTTTATGCATCTTTATAAAATGCTAGAAATCACAAACATATAATGTCATACATGATATATATCTCATATAAATATTTCATTTTTGTGTTGCTGTTGTAATGGGCAGGTTTAGAATTGACAATTGGTGACAGCATCGGTGCAATTATTTCCTATAAAGAATAGGTAATAAAGAATAGGGAATGATGCATCAGATCGCCTCCTTGCAGTTTGGGGACATAATCTCGTACAAAGTTAGGACACGTTACCGGCTGACATTTTTATAATGACATCTGAAATAACTACCAGCTGGGGCTGTGACTCTGATTTGAGCAGCACTGGGGCTACACTATGCATTAGCCCCTACAATTACTTTAACGCTACACTATCACAAAACATTAAACATTATGCTACACATTAGCCTTCGACACTAACCATTAAGCCCTAAATTACACTAACACAAACCTAAAAGTAACTTAAGATTGAGATCCTATTATGCACAAACTGAGGATAATTCATTATTTTGTTTTGTCATCTTACTTTTCCAGGTCTTCCGCAAATGTAGCCGTAAATACAAATAATGGAAGCTTCATCAGCATCTTGAGTATGCAAGTATTCACTGTAAGTTTCATATCTGTATTTTTAAGTAATTTTTATTTTATACTACAATATACAACATTATTCTGAAACAGTATTTTCTTTTTAATCACTTTACTTAAATTGCACATAGCATGTTGTAGAGCAAAACTACAGAGTGCTCTGGCTAATAGCTCAGCACAGGACTAATTGTCATATTCGTAATTAAGCAACAATATTTTACATGTCATTATTTATAAAAAAAATAGTATGGAGCAATATTCAAAATATTGAACAATCTCCATGTAAACCATTCAAATATTCTATTTTAAGAACTTACACTCACAATTCCTCGTAACAGTCAAACTCGACCAAATTTACAATATATTATAGGGCTAATAAATTTACTTACCAAATTGTGGCCTCAATTTACTATTTTAAGATAAGCCTTTTAAATGATTTAGTACATTTGGATAAACTTAATTTTTTTTTTTAAATATTAAAATCTCTCTCTCATTATATATATAATAAAATATATATTATATAATATATATATTTTAAATATTCAATTATTTAATTTTTTTTTCCAAAGGTACAAAATTATTTGAAAAGCTTATAAAAAATAATATAAAATTGAGTCCTATGGTTGATTTATTTTGTTGTTGTTGCTTTCTCCAATTAATTGTTTTTCATGTGAACTTTCAGGAATCCTAGTTCCTTTCAAAGTGATTTTAAAACTCTAGGCCAGCATATCCAATCTGACACATTTCAGGGATACTTAAATATCTTTATAATAATAATATATAATAATATAATATGTTTTTGTTCACATTTACAACTATTTACTCCTAAACCTATACTGCTATTATGGAGCTGTAATATATCAGAAATTTAGATGACAAGGTATTTCTGTAGTCATGGTCTCAGTGGATCCACACTTCCACAAGTGTAGAGCTACCACAAGAGGACATGGTCTTAAATTAGAGGGGCAAAGATTTAAAAATAATATCAGGAAGTATTAATTTACCACTTCAGCAAGTGTATGCAGGGAGTGTAGAAGAAAGGGAACATGAAGCAGCAAGAGCATTTTCATAGTGCACAAAGTCAGCTTTACCATAACTAATTTCATTGTCAGTCAGTCCACACCAGTTTTGCTCCCCTACATCCCTCCTAAGTTTCCGTACTTACACAAGAGCATGTGAAGAGTAGTAAAAAATAAAACAATAATATATATATTAAATCAATGGGCCTATTCCTTAGACTTGAGCCTGGAGCTGCAGCTCCATCAGCCCCTATGTTAATCCAGCCCTTAATAAAGGTCCTCTTGTTCACAAGTGCCTCTAGAAGGAGGCACATTCACCTAGTGAGAATGTAAATATTTTATAATATAAAAAGACTCGGCTACACTCTCCTATTGCAAAATCCAGTTTGTAATCAAGTTGATTAACGAAATCAAATGCTGTCATGTGATCATTGAATTTCCATTAATATCACTGAGCGATTTATTGAACAGAAACATCTATGACATACACTGGTACATATTACTCTAACACACAGAATAGAAAATTGTTGCTAAACAAAGTACGTGAAATTATAATATCTATGATAATTCCCTATGATGTATTTATTTTATATAACCCTCATATTCTAGACACTTTCCAAACCTTAGTAACTATGTTATGTCCATTATGAAAATAACATAGGCACAGATCAGGTGGAATCATGATTGATGATGGTATGTGATCTGTAGCTGTCTATAGGTATTTCAATTGGTACATTGCGGCAGCTATGAACACAGCAGCTGGTAAATGGTTATGTTTGTGAATTCGACACTTGATAACTGCTGTGCCCTCTGCCAAATGATCATTCATGTCCTGCGGGATTTAATGTAGCTGTTGGTGAAGGCAACACTTTGACCTGGAACTTTTAGCCAGTGATTTATATACTTATATTTTTAACTACAGGATAGTGGATTCACAACTCTTCTGCAGGCTAATGGACCTGCTCTTCAGCTGAAAAAGCCAGTATATGTTCAAGTAAAAGCCACCAATCTAACCACAAAGTAAGGTTCTCAAATATGCACATTTAGTTAATGTATCAATATAACATGCATGACAGCATCATTGTTTAACTCAAATAGTGTCATAGCTACTGAGCTATAAGTTAACTTTACAGAACAGTATGGTTTTAATTTAAGTTATATACAAGAGCACAGCTGAAAAAAAAATCTGTGTTACCCATAGAATAAATGTCGGAATAACTAATTTGTCTTATGTATTTTTCCAGTTTCAATGTGCTTCTGGACCATTGCTTTGCTACGCCGTCTCCGTTGGTAACAACTCAGACTAGTGAAAAATACGACCTGTTTGTAGGGTATGATGGATTCAACTTTTACATTTTTTTTCTCATGAATTTAACTGAAGCAATGAATGAACATTTTCAGATATCCTAATTAAAATATACATACTTAAACCACAAGATAAAAAGATAGTACAGTTCTAGTAATTGAACATTAAACCGAAATAAATCATTGTCTATGCCTTCCAGAAAAAGAAGCTAAATTTATTTAATTTGGCAAAGAAATGACTCATCACTGTGAGCCTTTTTCCATTTAAAATCAATAGCCAGGAAATAGAGTAATTAAACTCGTTATAAAAAGAGAAATCAAAAAGAGAAATCAACAAGACATATGATCGGAGTCTCATATTTTTTTTTTTGCTTAATCTGAAATTCTTACCAAATAATTTAGACATTTTTGAAACCAAAATTTAAAATGAATAGTTGTAATATATGATGTTGTACTTTTACACAAGCTCAGCATTAGGCAGGTGATGTTTTGAGAAGAGGTTTAAAGGAAAACTCCAAACACCAGAGCAACTTAATTGCAATGTAGTTTTTTTATGATGCAAGGAGTTCATAACCAGAAGAGGTTAAACCATTAATGAAGTCAGCACGTTTGAGCTCCATCACTCTGTCCCTGTGATAAAGTTGTTATGGTACGCAGAGTGGTCATTTCTGAGTCCCTCTCTCAGCAGGATTTAAAATGACACAGATTTTTTAAATTATAGGGTATGTAGTTAAAAATATCTTGCTGTTTATTTTATTTCTATTGGTAGTCTACTTCTTTACTTGCTAGCTATACAAGTTTGAGTGTATTATGTTGAAAATTTACCAGTGTATAAAGTTAAAATGTAAATTGACGTGGCACATGGCAAAATAACCACATTCTTTAATTTTTTAATTTCCCATTGGCCAATGAGCTTTTGCCCTTTTACCTTGTCAGGAGATGATAGAATTAATTGGGGCAATATTATTACTCCTTACTGCTTCAGCCATTCAGCAAGTTCTGAGATTAATTTTAGGAAGGCAAATGGTCCCAGGGTCTGTACTCTCCAGACTTTAGAAGGTATAGTATATCTTGATTATATTTTTGCTATCACCTTGGGTAATATTTCGGTGAACCTTGTTGAACTAAGAGTTGTCAACAGAGTTACCTTCAAGACATGTCTGAAAACTTGAAGTTTTGTGAATACAGTCAACCTGGTAACAGGCCCAAACAAGATGTCTACAAATGGCTGTAAAGATCTCTACGTCAGGGAAGAGGGCATTTATGGTGGACACTGAGACATGAATCTCCATAATTCTAGTGTTTCATTTTCACATTTGTTTGATTTTCAGTTGTAAGCCATGGTATATTACAAAGGTTAAAATCTCTATCAACAATACCTAACCTTCGACACGCAAAATATCATCAACTGGCTGGCGTACAGAGAATGTTTTCTTTGGGGTGCTACTGTGTATTTGGTAAACTAAATTGTTTTGTATCTTCCACTCTAGATGTACTGTTCCGAACAAAACTACTATCCTTTCAAACGGGGCAGGAAGTGTAGCTCAGTTCAGGTTTGAGGCATTCCGCTTTGTGCAGAGTAGTAATCAACAAACATCCACAATTTATCTACATTGCATCATAAGGCTGTGTTCACCTGACGAGTGTGCCAAGTACACGGTGAGTGTTTGGAATAAGTTAAAAGATATAAAGTTTGATTACTAGCAGATTATCTATTTACACCAGTCTGTAAAGAACAGCTGTCATGAAATTTTCTTTTCTAATTTTTTTTAAAGTTTACTCTATTTAATGAAAGTTAATATTTTTTTTAAATGAGATATATTGATTTTTTATTTATATTTTTTAGCCTATTTCATGGTTGCTCCCCTCTATTGTTTGATTGAATGTGCTTAGCAATTCACAGGGAATTCACACTCTGTGCATCTACGTAGATAGTTGTGTATTGATGTTACTAGGTATTCCTGGCTGTACCCATTGAAAAACATAAATACATCACTCTTTTAACAAATAGACTTGTGGAAGCTCATCAAGACGCAAAAGAGCAGCAGATACAAGAGTTGCCACTGCTCAAGGACCTACTGACCCAGTCACAGTGTCTGCTGGTCCCATATATACGACTGATACAGGTAAGGGCATGAGTCATATTTACTTAATTTACTTGTTTGATGCATGTTCAGGTGAGTGCAGCCCTCTTGGTTTCATACATATATAATACACACCAGATTCATCGAGAATGCAATGCTATAAACTATAAATAAAATAACGGTTACAAGGGGAGGGATTGCAAAAGCCGCAGACAAGAGAACTGCAGGTTTTGCAAGCTGTTTTTAGATATAACTCCAATGAAAATAATCATAATTAAGAAAACATCTGCAGCTTTCTTCACTTACTAACCTTGTGTTGTTTGTTATCTTTTAGTGGCAGTTTCTCCACTTAGTTCAAGTCAGTCTGGCAGTAAGTATCAGATCACTGTTACCTCTAAGTATCAGATCACTGTTGCCTCTAAGTATCAGATCACTGTTACCTCTAAGTATCAGATCACTTTTACCTCTAAGTATCAGATCACTGTTACCTCTAAGTATCAGATCACTGTTACCTCTAAGTATCAGATCACTGTTACCTCTAAGTATCAGATCACTGTAACCTCTAAGTATCAGATCACTGTTGCCTCTAAGTATCAGATCACTGTTGCCTCTAAGTATCAGATCACTGTTACCTCTAAGTATCAGATCACTGTTGCCAGTTTCCTCTTATATTTTGAGGATCATACCAACCTCACAACATGGACTGAAATACTTCAAGACCTCAAAAGGAAGTCATAGAGAGAATGGTTTCAAGTTTAAGGCCAAAGTAGCCAATCTCAATGCATAGATGACTTCGAGAATTTTGACCTTAATTTTATAATTCATTTTGGAATTCACTTGAAGTTCTTGACCATTCTAACTGTAATGAATGACCCTGTGAGCGTTTACTCTGTACTGCCTGGGTTCACTGTAACTGATGATAATCTTTTCTTCCAGGCTTGGAAGGTGCAAAACAGCTTGAGGGTACCCTGAGTGGACTAATTGTTGGAATCATCATCGCTGCTATATTGGGAGCCGCTCTCGTGTTTGCCAGTGTTCTACTGTTTAAAATGTATCGTCTGAAAGCATCCAAGGATCAGAAGAATGGCGTTGACAACTTTGCATTCAATGGAAAATAGAATTCCACTGCAATAAAAAACATAAAGTGATATATTTTTACTTAATCATTCTTACTGAGTATTTTAATCGGAAAAATACTTAATTGATCTGCACTTTGAAAATAATATAGTATTTAATATATAAAATGGTAAACTAATCTGTACCTGTTGATATAGATTGTAAATATATAATTGTTTAGAAAATGCAATTTTAAATTTTTTTGAAGATTATGATTCTGTTTATTTTCTCATTAAATCAAAAATAAAGAACATGCAATTAATAGTGTCTTAATTTTATGAATAACCTTTTTTTTTTTTTTTAAATGAGGTGTGAATAAGCCTAAGAGTTAATACAAACATTACTATTTATGTCATTTCTATGTATATATTTCCAATTCTATCTATAAATCCATTTCAATTCAAGGGAAACAAGAAACTGGAGTTGTGCATTTAAAAAATAAATAAAAAAATGTCAATAATACATTAATAATGCAAAAATAACTTGATAAAAAAATTCAAATAAATAAAAGACCTCTGAATGCCCAACATTTTGTTTTTGTAGATGTATGCCATGTGTGGAATCCAGGAAGTGTCTGATGTTTCTCATCCCTCCCCTTGTTTTCACATTAGGTTTTCGTGATATACGTAAAATGAATTATACTATATATCAAGCTGACAGCAGCAGTCAGGGCCGCTATTAACTTCCCAAGTAGCTTCATTTGTGGTCAATAGTACTTGTGTAAGATACAAGATACACTTGTGTAAGTGAGCTCTACAAAACCTCTGACAGAAAGCCAGAAAGCTATGAGGCATTTTGTCTGTAATCCAATACTTGGAAATAGATGATGTGGCTGTGATTTAAATATACCTGATCATTCTATCCCTTAGAGAAGTGATATACCTGATCTCAGGTAATAAATGCTATGAGTTTGCACTTATACAAACGTCTTGTACAAGTGACCAATTCATATTGCATTAGGATGTCTGGAAAGTTAATGTTAAATGTACATATTCCCTGCAATTTAGAACCACAATTGACCACTTTTGATACTTAAAGGGACACTATAGTCAACACAACAACTACAGCTTAATGTGAGTATAATCATTGCCTTCAGGCATTTTCATGCAAACACTGCCTGAGAAATAACAGTTTTGACATTGACCCTAGGGACACTTCAAGTGGCCACTCCTGGTACCTTCCTGGCTCAGTGCTGCATAGTAGGCAGCACTGCCATTCAGTGTCTCCACGCTCTGAATGGGGATGCTGAATTTTCCTCATAGAGATGGATTGATTTAATGCATCTCTATGAAGAGGTGTTGATTGGCCAAAATAGCGTTTGGCCCCACCCTGTCCCACCTCCATGCCGAATTTTAACCAATCCAAGGCTTTCCTATTGGTAAAGCATTGGATTGACAAAAAAGCGGCAGTTCTGATAATATCATCAAGGAGGCAGATCAGGGGCATGGCCAGCGCTGGCGGACCCGTGCGGCGCTGGAAATAAGGTGAGTTTTATTTATTTTTAAGGGAGCTGACGGGGGGCATGTTTGTGTTCCCGACCCCATAGTGTTTTTTTTAATGTTATAATTGTGCCATATAATGAATATTGTGCACCTTTAATTTCTTTGTATATACTTTGAAATATTGGTTTGCTGATTGTGCAATTATTATTTGCAAAAATTGCATTGTTTGATTCTGAACAATTGGATGGATGGATGTTTTATCCCTCAAATTGTTATTTTCCCCAGTTTGTTTTCTGCTCCCCATTTTAGAATTGTGAAATGTTTGTATATTAATATTTTTAAAATCTTTCCAATAAAAAACATTTAACTAGAAAGCTTTGAGGAAAGCAATACTACATGCACAAGCTGTTTTTCAGGTCTAGGGCAAGCTCTTCTTCACACAATAACAAGGCAGCAAAGAGCAGGAGTGAGCTAGTTTATTGCTATATTATTTTGAATAGAATGAAGGAAAAATGACGCAATGAACATATGCATTTAGAGTACTTGACGTGTACTTATAAAATAAACAGTAGAATAGCACTTGATTTGAACTGTATATGTTTGAAAATACTTAAAGGGACACTATAGGCACCCAGACCACTTCGGATCCTATGTCCCTTATGCCTACAGTGGTAATTATTGCAGTTTCTAATAAACAACTATAATTACCTTTCAGGGTAACTCCACCTCAGATTTCTGCTGTAAACACTAACTTTCAGAGAAAAGGCAGTGTTTACATTTCTGCCTAGGGACACTTCCAGTGGCAGTCACTCAGAGATGATTCCTGGGGCAGCGCTGCACAGTGTGCACTGCAAACGTTCAGCGTCTCCATTGTGTGTTTAACACTATAGGTTCAGGAATATATGCTTGTAGTACTGACCTTTAAATAATGTTGACATTTTCTTATCTGAAACAGATGACTTGAGTTCATGAGAACAACAACTTCACAGTCTGTAGTTTGTAATTTGTAAGTAAACTTTAAATCCTTTTAGAGTTATTTACAAATGTAGAAATAGTTAGCAATTCTATTTGAATTCAAATGGAATTTTTTTTTTTTATTTTTTTTTACCAAACTGGCTGACCTGGAAAATATTTCCATTTTAAATTCACTTTTAATTTCTAACAAGTCTCACTTTAGTGAATAACTGTTAGATTATTAGGTAATTCAACACCTGATAGAACTGGTGATGGCTGACTTTGTGATAAATTTAACGGTAAGTAATCATGGATTGCTGCCCCCCGTGTTCTCCTAAATAAGTTTGGAAAACGAGAAGGGGGTGTGTCTAGTTATTAAAAGAAACAGTCACTGTCCAATGTCCATTCTTTGTAGTGAAGTGGTAGATATTACCGTAATATAAGATGTGCCCTATCTGTATGAACATTAAGTGGCCAAACACTGCTTTACAATAGGACATTATGCCCAAGGAAACATCTTTTGTTCTGAATACAATGTGAGGTTGTGAGAAAGTACTCCCTTATCCAAAAGGACCGTTGACAAGCTCAGTTTTGCACAGAGATATTTACAAAGTAACCAACAAAAGCAATGCCAGGGAATTACTGGAGTCTGTGCTGAGAGTTTTTTGTTTGTTTTGAACAGTTTTATGTAAAGGTTGTAAGGAGTACATTCACAACAAACACAACAAATACAAATGAACCTTACAACAAAGTAGCAGACACAGAGGCAAAGGCACATAAAGGTTACAATACAAAGACACAAACAAAAAGCTACACAGTAATAGAAAGCGCCTGACAGCCATTATAGGCGCTTAATCCTCCAGAACAGAGTCAATCTCAGCATTTCAATCAAATGCTGTTGATAGCAGCAATTAATTGAAGGAGAGCAGCATTTAGCCGCGCATGCGTTTTTCCAATCCAATGCTTCTCAATGAGAAGCACCGGATGGGATGAGGTAGCGGAAGACATCAGCAGGCACGCTGGTGTCTTTGCAGTAGGTGTGGGCTGCTGTAGTGGAGGAATGTCGGTACTGACAATGAGATTAGTAAATTTAATTATCTTAAAATGTACCTAGTAAAGTAGTTGAACAGTGATCATACTGCTAGTGTAAAACAAATATTGTTATTTTCTGGATGACAGGTTCCCTTTAACTGATGGCTAACTTATAGTTTGTTACTGGGATGAACTAAAATGTTTGAAGGGTGAGGATTCATTGTCACGTGCATTCAATCTTGAAACTTATCAGGTAGGTTTACTTTAGATGTTTTCATTCTTGCTCTGTTAATTCAATGTTAATAAGACAAAGGAGGTTCCTGCAGGCTGCAGGAAATGAACTAAACAGGAGTTAAGACATTCTAAATTGAACACACTGTGCAATAAAGAAAGTTTAAAAATTAGACCTCTCCTTAGAGGAAGTGTATAGTCAGACTTTGTATGTCACAGACATGGGAGGTGTGGCTAGTGCTGAAGGAAAGTGATTTAACATCTAAAATTCATACTAATGACCAGTGAGACTGCAGGGACACGATCTGGACACCACTTCATTAAGAAAAAGTTGTTTTGCTGATAAAAGTATCCATAAGGGGCGTAGCGTTCTCTCCTGTGTAAAGAATTGAACAATTCAAGATTTTAAATCAATGCATATCTTTTTTTTTTTTACAATCTTTATTTTTCGTTTTCCGTAGTACATGTAGATTGAGAAACGCAAGTACAAGATAACATTGTCAATAGGCATTAATACATTAGTATTTCTCCGATACCAGTAGGCAGACATTAGGGGGCAAGCTTTTTGGAGCAATAAAGGAGTGTTGGGGCGGGTGAATCAACAGCTGCGTGGGCTGCGTAATCATTTGTAGGGTTGGTGGTGGAAGCATAAGCATACAATGTTGATCTTGGGATCCGCCTGTGGTGCAATCGAGGCTGCCTAGCGGTTTGTTGGCGTATTGAGGGTATATGGCTTATTTTTTAAAGACAATTAGAGTTTTCATTTCATTCAGCGCAGGAGTGAATCAATGCAATTCTATGAGAAAAGTTCAGTGTCTCCATGCAGAGGGTGGAGACACTGAATGTCAGTCACACTGTGCAGCACTGCCCCAGGAAGCCCCTCTAGCAGCCATCTGAGGAGTGGCCAGTGGAGTTATCACTAGGCTGTAATGTTAGCCCTGCATTTTCTCTGAAAACACAGTTTTTACAGCAAAATGTCTCCAGGGAATGATTATTCTCACCAGAACAAATACAATAAGCTGTTCTGGTAACTATAGTGTCCCTTTAAAGAATGCTAGAATAAAAAAACCAAAGGCGAAAAGTCAAAGGAAGAAACTAGACCAATTAAAAAAACCAAGAAATGAAAACCTTTTATTCGAACAACTATGTTAATGTGCTTTAAAAATATATATATATGTTAGGATTTGACTTTAATTTTTCATTAGACAGCTTTTTAACTTTTTAATAAAAAACACACAGATTATTTACGCTTTTCACAGCAATATAATCCATTTTACAGGATGTTATACAAGGTTTGTCTGTTTATCAATTTCACTTTCTAAACGCTCTATTTTTTTCCTTGTGCATTCTTTTTCAAGTGAAATCATTTGAAAATAGCAAAGCATGTCGTCTTCTTCTTTATGCTCTCTGTGTAAATCAACTTCTTTTTCCATTATTTTCATTAGTTCGAAATTAAGCCGGTCCAACTCCTCCTCAATGTGTTGTTTAGTAAAATTCTCAGTGAAGCTTTCTTCATTTTCAGGAACACTAATTGGAGCACAACAAAATGTAAAATTGGCAGAATAGTGCATTTATCCATCCATCGATCCATTCAACAAGAGTAGCAAAAATAATTATATTGATAGTAACGATGGCAATGATTTCAAAATATCTTGTTTCAAATATATACATATACAAGCATGGTGAACACATATAGAGATAATTGTGGCTGCACCTTTTGTTGATAATGGAATAACGTTAAAAATTAGCTTATTAAACTTGAATGATTACATTTTCCTTATTTAAAAAAAAAAATACCTGGGAATATCTTTAAAGTTCTTATTGAAGAAGCGCCTCTTTCTCTCGCCAAGCATATTTCTGAGTAATATTTCAATTTTGCATGTATTCAACAGTTCATCACTCTTATCAAAAGCCTGTTTGGAAAGAAAATAGATTTACAAATGGATGATCACACAATTTTATTAAAGTACACGGAGGCAAGTATTCATTTTTATCTCTTTATTTATTTATGTATTTATTTATTATAGGAATAAAGAACGAGATAAAGCATAATACTCGCCTCTGTGTCCTTAATAAAATCATGACTTTACGTCATGTAATTAGTAAAATCTGGTAAAAATCTAACTGATTGTGAACCCGTCTGAAAATCCTAAAATATCTTTTACTGTATGATGTCAGTATACGGGCTTTAGAATTGTTGGGAATTCTGAGTAAACTTCAAATTGAAGTGGTCTTGAGTGTCCCTTCAAGTTTTGTAGCCTGGGAACTGTTATGTTTGGTGGACAGAGGATATGCATATACTGCAGATAGATGTTTATAAGCTGTAATTACATTTACTCGTTTTTCTAGTCAGTTTGAACGTGAGCAATGAAAAGAAAAGATTAGTTTAAAACAACACTATAGTCACCTAAACAACTTAATGAAGCAGTTTTAGTGTATAGATCATGCCTCTTAGATTTCACTGCTCAATTCACTGCCATTTAGGAGTTAAATCACTTTTGTTTCCTTTTATGCATCATTAACCAAACCTCCCCTGTCTGTGACCTACACAGCCTGCATGAAAACAAACTGGTTTCACTTTCAATCAGATGTAATTTACCTTAAACTATTTTATCTCTTGCTCTGTAAACTGAACTTTAATCACATACAGAAGGCTCTTGCAGGCTCTAGCACGCTATTAACATAGCAGGGGGATAAGAAAATCTAAATTAAAGAGAACTTGCAATAAAGGAAGGATAAACATTAGATAACTCTTTACAGGAAGTGTTTATGACGGCTGTGCAAGTCACATGCAGGGAGGTGTGACTAGGGTTCATAAACAAAGTGATTTAACTCCTAAATGGCAGAGAATTGAGCAGTGAGGCTGCAGGGGCATGTTCTATACACCAAAACTGCTTCATTAAGCTAAAGTTGTTTTGGTGACTATAGTATCCCTTTAAGATAACAAGGTTACTTTCCTTATATTCTTACATACCTTTTTAAAACCAGGCTTTCCTTTAGTTTTTAATCTTGAGAAACATGGATTAAAAATGAGATCTGTGTGCATTCCTTCATGAACTTGTGAAGCTGTCATATTGTCTTGTTCAGAAGGCAATGACAGGATTCTGCTGAAGAAGCCATCACTAAAGCAGATCTTTATTGCCTACAGAGAGGATCAGAAGTCAATATATACTTGGTCGCCAAGCTGTGGGACACATGGGAGCTCATATATTAGGGAGTTGTAGAAGACATTCCATGCTAACTCTGCACTAAAGAATTTTTTTTAAAAATTACGATCATTTCTAAATTCTTATTGTTTACACTGTTATAAAAGAGGACATATATAAACTCACTTGTAACTTCAGATACCAGTGGATTCTCTATTTACACTAGGTAATGTATTAATGAGGTAAAAAATGGGTAAAAAAAACTTATAAACAATTTCCCTTAAAGTGCAACATAGAATAAATAATATAATTGAATGTGATATACACTGATATAGAAGTTGGCTGCTACACACTTAAGTGCTGTGACTCCAGATACACAATCCAGCACACTCAGAGTACAATAAAAGAAATTAAAAAGATAATAAGTGGAGTGCAAACAAATTCTAGTGAGCTTCTAAACACAACCCATAGTGTGGATAACAAAGTAGTAAATTATACTTAGAGTATTTTGAATGGTTCTCGATGAATACCATTTAAAAGACAAAGCACAGGTATACAATGATCGTGCAGTATATCAGTAATATAGTGTGGAATTCTACACTATTGAAAACTGTGCAGTACATAGTTGATATATAGAAAGAAGAAATGTATTACAAATAGCAACATTAAACAATAATCTAGCTGCTTACAAGATCACAGTTGGTGAGTTTTATGCGAGCAATGAGGCTCCGCTACTCACAAGTGCTTGTTAATACAGGGTCTGTCGGGATCAGCTGTGGTTAGATGTCATAATCTTCAGTCACCTCCCTCGGTTCCCCGATCTCCTGCAGCAGCTTGCCAAACGCTGTTGGCTTGAAGATTGCGGAATTGCAGGTACCGCCCACCTGATGACTTGTAGAATTCCACACTATATTACTGATATACTGCAAAATCATTGTATACCTGTGTTTTGTCTTTGACATGGTATTCTTTGAGAACCATTCAACTCTATGGGTTGTACTTAGAAGTTCACAAGAATTTGTTTGCGCTCCTCTTATTACCTTTTAATTTCTTTTAATGTAGATAAGAGTTCCCAATATTAAGTCATAACACTTAATCCAAATAACCTTTGTGATATACCTGGTAATAAACCCTAAGAAAGGAGGTGTTGGAGTCATCGCCGAAGTCATCACAAGCAATGTGGGATATGCAATGAACAATCAATAAAATGAAACTCCCGATAGACTTTAGATATTCATGGGCAACATATAGTTTGTTTTCCGAGGTCTGTAAATGAAACAGTGCAAACAGTAACATACATAAAGAATATTTACAAAGCGTCAGTAAAACTTTATATAAGTAGTTATGAGACGCCAACGACATGGTTCCCATTCCCGTTCCGTTCCTCTTTCTTAATAAAGAAAATCTTAATGACAATGGCAAACCAACCTCTAATTGGCTTACCTGATAATAAAATGAGTTGGCAAAAGCATTTCCTTTGTAGGTGTTTTCAGGTAAGCTGGAGGCAACATGTAAATAGATTTCACTAACCTGTTGAGATACAAGATAGAATATATCAACCTAAATATTGAGAAATCTATATTTTTGGTATAATTCAATGACAGACTACAATAATAAACTTTACCGGACTACATCCAAATTTACAAAGCAAGCATAGTCCCAGGGCTATATATAGTTTATTACGTCAGACGTCATGCCTAAGCTAACAGGTATGCTGTCCTTTTAAAATGGCCTGTGAGGTATTTATGCCTTCAATATTGTCTATGTGGGACCCACAAGGTTATGATTGCAAAAATTTAAAAACAACAGTTATTGAGTCTGAACTACCAATCGACCAAAACCATGTATGCTATTAAAGGGAGATGGGGGGAATGGGGGAGGGCAATTTTTGCACCGGGGCCCCATGGTTTCTAGTTATGCCTCTGGCCGAAATATAAGTATAAAATAAAAATTACTTAGTTCTTTCAAATTTCACATAAACTTTACAATCCTAATTTACAAATTTTGTGATAATAAAATGTGTTAACATTTTATGTTGGATGAGTTACAAATTAAATTAATATACTGGCACTTATAGGGAATTCTTAAAAAAAATAATTGATTCTACAGTTAATTAACAATTATTGATAAGTTGTCAATTAAGGTAACTGAATCAAAAAATAGAAAATCAATACACTTGCACTGAGATGGTTATTCAGTAATTCCAGGATGTATAAGCCATACTGATATATCACAATCTCTCTTGGATTGAGATCTTCTGGATTCATAACAATTAATTCTCCTTTGGACGTTAACTGCAAATCCTGTGTATCTCTGAATGCATTACCTAGATTTGAAAAAAACAAAACGTATATAATGGATAATTTGTGCATTACTTTTTTCTTACCATTTAGAATTGCCATCCTTTCATAAATACAATATATTAGTTATGATAAAACAATAATAAATTTTTTTAGCAAAAGATAATTTAACAAAAATAATCTACATATAGAGCAATCAAATAAAATGTAACGTATTGTGTTTCCTATCAAAACATGTATTTAGTAAATATAGATCAATCACTTTGCACCAATATTGCCAGGCGTCCATTACAAGGACCTTACCATGATCTTATCATGACCCGAGTTTATTCCTTTTGAATCTGGTGTGACCAAGAAGAAAGTATTAAAAAATAGATCACACACAGGCTATGACAGATCCTCTTTAAATATATTGCAATGTATACGACAACAATTACATCAAAATTCACAAATCAAAATCATCTGGATATATTTGCTAAGTGGAAATTAAGGACGAGATAGGCAAACTTGAAAATTCTCCAAGCCGGTTTTACATTCAGTTCAGCTAGTCTGACCTTTCACTTTGAATTCTCAATTTAGTAAATAACTCTGAAAAATATGTATATGTTGTGCATGCACATGCTATACAAACTACCAGTTCCTACCTTCAAAGACTGATTCCTCAGAGATTTACTGTGAGGCTGTCTGAGCTGTGGTCACAACAGACAGACAGACAGAAAAAGTAATAATGTATATATATATATAAGGAGGTCCAGTTTCTTGCATTTTTTTTTCTATCTTTCCCACCTCACTCTGATCTTCACACAAGATATTTACGACCCTCTGTAAAAATTATGTCTATTTTCTATTAAACCTGTGTCTTATCTGCACTCATGTCACTTTAACCCCTGTATCACAACTCAACTTTGAATTCTATGTCATCTTGCCCAGAAATGCTTTAGACTGTTTGCTTTTTTTTTTTATCTCTCTCCCCCCTCTCTCGGTGACCCTCACACAAGATATTTACAACCCTCTATGAGAATGGTGCCTATTTTCTAGTAGACCCGTGTCTTATCTACACTCATGTCGCTTTAACCCCTGTATCACAACTCAATTTTGAATTCTATGTGTCATCTTCTTCAGAAATGCTTTAGACTTGAGAAAGGGAAGTTCTCCCAAAAGATCATTAAAATGTCGTTAAAAAATTATGTTAGTCCAATAACAAAGGTATTACAAGATACAAATGTTATCTGTTCTTTACATCTACATCACTGGACTAATACGGCTACAATCTCTACTTGAACACTATATATATGTATATATAAATATATAGTATCTCACAAAAGTGAGTACATCCCTCACATTTTTGTAAATATTTTATTATATCTTTTCATGTGACAACACTGGAGAAATGACACTCTGCTACAATGTAAAGTAGTAAGTGTACAGCCTGTATAACAGTGTAAATTTGCATAAAAACGCGTAATGGGTTTTGAACTCCCATTAGCTAAATGAGTGCACCTGTCTCAGGTTCTTACATTACTGCTGAAGAAATGCACTTAACCCACTGTCTAACAGCAAGTTTCTATTGTAGCACAGCATGGCTAATATTTATATATATCAATAGAAGCACGCAATAAAATACTGTGTAAATACTGTCAGACTTGCTGAGTAGTGAGTTTACAAAATCCGTCCAGCGATCAGCACTGAAATGCTAGCCCCTGCAATCCATATAATTACTACAACGGGGAGTGCCAACATTAAAGCACATTAATCAGTCACTAATATAAAGTGAATATTATACACAAACTGCACTGTGAAGAATAATTACATCAGTCATTTTATAAAAAATGCAGGTTTGAAATTACAAAAGTAATTATAGAATCCTAATTAATGTATGTATTACATTGTAAAACAGGCCTACTGATTATCAGGTTTTATTGTGTATTTTCTCTATACGGTTATCATAAAAATCTGCATATTCCACTTAGGTTCGGTCTTTCCAATTTAGCTTATAACACAGTAAAGGAGTTTAAGCATGCCTGGGATAGGCATAAGGCTATCCTAACTATAAGATAAGACTAGGGAATAATGAAAGTATTTAGAAAATTGGGCAGACTAGATGGGCCGAATGGTTCTTATCTGCCGTCACATTATATGTTTCTATGTTTCTATGTTTCTATGTTTCTATATAGTGATTATACTCATATCCACATTTTTGCAGTACTACAGTCTGGACGTGTTGGATACACACACACACACACACACACTTATTAGCATTCGGAGAACCAGCACTTCTTCAATTCGTCTCCTATATATCGCCTTCTGTTATATTGTATTAGTCTTCTATATTGACTAAGAATATTCTAAGTGGTTACTTGTGTGATTGCTTTAAATTTCACCTCTTTTCATTCCTGAGATAATTAAATCAATGATATTAGTTTAATAGAATTCTAACATATTGATCATATTAATTAAAACAACTGTGCTTGTTTTTATGAATAGATAACATATATTGAAACAGAACTCTATTCACTAGTTTGTTTACTCTTAAACATTCCATATCTTAGTAAATCCACCAGGCTAGTGCCTAGGGGTCAATTACACTGATACATGAGTGCATCTTTCACTAAAATGTTTATAATTCATTTAAAATACCAAGCCTATGTAGAATTGTAAGGCAGCCGAATAGATGTAATCAAGCAGATCTGGGTAGAGAACCAGGGGAAGTATATTGGCCAAGTGGGCATTTGAACAGCTAAATAACATTTTTATTTGTTTGTAGGAATTGTAGGCAGTTATGCATGGTTATAAAAGAAAATAGACAATGTGAAGAACCTTTATGTAACTCATTGCTGTCCTGGATGATAAGAGCAGACTGGGCATTGACTCTCAGTTGAGTATCCACTTCCTTGAGTAGTGCCAGAACAGGAGAAGATTCTGATATTTTATGTATATTTGCTGCATCCCCATCTGTTTGATTAAAAGAAAATTAAAGACAGCAGAGTTTGGATGAATAGGAAGTATTATGCATTAAATACAATCTAATCCTGAGGTCACGGATATTTAAAATGACTGTTTGACAATCTCAAAAAGGGTAAGCAATTACAATCGAGAATTTGTTCTTTTTTTCGATGAAAACACATGACTATTATTAAAAGATGGATGGATGTTTAAGTCAAATCCTGATGATGTATGGATGTATATAGAAAGGATTTTAATGGAAAATTTGAAATATGTGAAACATTGTATTGCTCTATCTCAATAAAATTGAAAGTGAAAATGCTTTGTCGTTGTAGGTCACTGAACCTTGCGAACTGGTGGATTGATGGCGGTTTTTGTTTGAATTTTGGACATTTTACACTTTTAGACTACAAATTTTTTTTCCCAGTTCCATATCAACATTTTATGTTGATCATTATCTCTATTCTATATGTTATAACATCTTAGCTTCAATTTCACTAATAGATAGTCTGCTACCGTTACGCTGTTAACTAACGATTTCATGACATGTACAAAATGTTTTAGGGGGAAAGGCCACTCTGATTTTCTGTATGTAAGGAATATGTTTTGAAGCCATAATCAATCTTCCAGAAGGGGTCTTGAGTATTTTTGTAATTTGATGGACACAAGGAATGGAAAGTAAATGGCATAAGTTTAGAATCCTCTTTTTTCTTTAGTTTAGTTGATGGCTCATCTTGGAATTAATTGATATGATACAAACTCCTACTTTACGATACTATCTCAGATCTAAAATCAGCTCGGGGGCCAAATAGAACCAGGTAAGTTAAACCTTTCTGAAATGGTTGAATAGTTTATTGTCAGGCCGTGACAGGGAACTCTCGACACTATAACCACTACAGCCTGTAAATACAGATTGCTATCCATTTTTTAAAGATATCATTAAGGTTTGAAGAGCTGTACAATGGTAAACAAGGCACAAATGTAGAAGCACATGGTAAACACAAGAAGTTAAACATCCACATCTTTTTAGATACCTTGACATCATGCAATGTGTAAAAAGGATTGACTCCTAAAAAAAGACAATGCAATAAATAATGATCATTGTGCGTTTCTCAAGATACCTGGCCGTAGATTGGAAGAATAAATCTGAGGAACAAGAAGAGATATTCTTGAAGCCATGATTTGTTCTGCTTGTTGAAATATGTTGATATCTGGATAGACAGGAAGAGCAAGTTACAATTTGTTAAACGATCTAATATTCTTTCCATATATCTTTATGTAGGTGAATGGAGATTACATTAAAGTCAAATATTTTGCTTCTAAGATTTTCTAAGATACTTCTGCTATTTATAAATCAACCAAATTTGATCTCCACAAATGAGATGGGGACGGCCCAAACGCTATTAAAACTATCTTGTTTCAGTATGATTTTGGAACTTTTTATCTAATTTACAGTTATAACATCTCGTTTACTTTTACAGTATAAGTTTCCCAAAGGAGATTCAAAATAATGAGTTTACAGTCTATGAATTAACTGAATAAACAGGTGTTAAATAGTTGCAGTTGCTACCAAACGTAATTGAATTAATATTTTTAACTCTGGAACAATGGAATCCAAAGAAAACCATGTCGAAAAGCAAACCTACAGCCCCGAGGCTTGAACAGGTCAGTGCCTTAACCAGTGAAGCTATCTAACCAGTTTACGTTATTTTTATCCAGCCCTTTACTTAGTAAGTCTTTGGAATAATAATAAAATGTATATTTAGTAAACAGTCATTTTGTAATAACTTGATGTCTGAAGGTTCTTAAGAAATATCAGTTCCCCAATTTAGTTTTGTCCTACTAACATGTATGAAGAAAAAAGAAAGTAACCGTGCCCAAGGATTATGTACAAGACTTACACAGGTCTTTTGGGTTTATACACGTATTGGACCTCAAATAAAACAGAAGGAACAATAATAGCGCAATACAATATGTACAGTAAGTGCGTGATTACACTCACATTTAAGTGAGCTGTTTCAGCGCTTAGACGGAACAATCCCTGTCTAAGGATATGTGCAGGACCAGGCGTCCCAAAAATGTGCCTGAATGTGCAGCTACATTATTACAGTTCTGTCTGTTATATTAGGCTTTCATTTATTCATTTCTGGTTCTCTATCAGTGAACAGTTGTAAAGTTAGTCCAATTAATGATCACCATTGTCTAATAAAATCCAACTTTAAAATTCCATTAGCAATTCCTGTTAAAAAAATATTTTGAAAAGACTGAAAATATATTTTTTGGATCATTTGTTGAATGCACCTTGTCAAATGGAATTGTACATAAAACAAACCATTAGCAATGTGCATAAAACAGATAGGAGCATGCAGAATATCAGAGGAGCAAAGGTGTATAAAAATCAGTACATAAAACAACGATCTGTTTTTGCATTCTAAGAACACTTACTGCCACCTAGTGTTTTTCTATGGTGTGTAATTAATTAAATTGCATAATAGCAATACTTTATTAATTACTTTGCAAACTTCTAATATTTCGATGCCATGATGCATATTGGACATATGATGATATGGCAAAAAAAAATAAAGTCAATCTTTACACCGACCTGTTCAATGTATCATTGGACATGGGTGCATATGTCAAAATGCTGATTGTAAAATGCAACTCAATAAAAACACCAACACTTTAATGCACGCAGATGGTATTAAATGTGATAATTGTGCTTGAGGGTCATAGCATGTATTAACTAACAACAAATTAACACAATCATGGAGACGTGATATGTAGAGTAGAAATGCACAATGTAACGTTACAAAGTATAATTCAGATTAAATGAATTAGTCAATATCTTCTAGATGGAAAATATATATTTTAAGCACATAATAATAGTATATAACGGCGCCTGCTATCATTTAGGTACCAACGCCATACATTATTAATACCCACTCTCTGCTAGCAACGTTAGGATACTTTGATCATCATTCTGTGTGCCTTTTTTTCCGGACGACGTGTTGGTATTTACATTATGGATTCCCTCTTCACTCTTCTTCACTTCCACCTCCAGTTTCATTTTTAATATCTCAAGGTCCCTTTCAAAGGTCTTTTCTAAGAAAGTTACAGTTTCATCGTGCTCCTTGATGAGTTTCTATGGATGGCAGATAGATGAAGGAGATCAGAGGTCTGTCTTTCTACGAAATCAAGTCAACATACTGCATGTTTGCTCTAAAATTCTCAATTTTAAATTAAAAAATCACAAGAAACCTCATAAGATAAAAACTTAGCAAAAGAGTGATGTGTTTTATACGTTAATTGTGAGAATTAGAAATAATTAGTAATTTTGTGGCAGTTATGTTCATGTATGAATGTAATCTTTTATGGATCCAAGTTTAAAACCTGTTGGGGGGGGTTCAGTTCAATTTAAAAGCAAAAGCCTTTTTCACCCAGCTCTGGGAAACACATAGGAATAATAATTTATTAAACATGGATACTACTGGTGAAAAGCTACAGTTTTAACAACACATTCTGTAGAAAACAACACTTCACTTCTTCAATTTAAAAGGTTATTACAAAACATATGTAAAAACAAACAAAAAATATACAACATATAAAAGCTACTCACAGAGCTGTGCAGTGAGTTTTTACTGCCAGTTACGAAGCTCTGATGGCTTTATATTGCAGTTTATCACAAGGCTTTCTGGTTTATGGGTTCTGAATGTTGAACTACAATCCCCAGAAACCTCTACTTTGCAGCCTCTTACAATAACATGTATGAACATAAGGACCTTGTTTGGTGCCATAAAAACAAATGGCCTAGCACTCATTGTAAATTTCAAATTCGATTTATTTTGCTCTCACACATTACCAAAGCACCCAACACTGTGGTTTTGAGATAGATATCATGGGCTGAGTGCTTGTTTCTATTATATATCTTCTAAATAGTTTCCTTCTATGACATATTTAATGGGACACTATAGGCACCCTGACCACTTCATCTCATTGAAGTAGTCTGGGTGCAGTGTCCCTGTCCCCCTAAGTCCTGCAATGTGAAACATTGCAGTTCCAGAGAAATTCCAAGAATTTACAATCTAGCTGATGCTTGAAGTCCTTATGCTCTGCTTGAGGACATCCATTGTCAGTGAAAGCCCCTCAGTAAAGAATTGAGTCAATGCTTTCTTTTGTGCTTGTGTTGCTCATCGTCCACGCGCTTTAGGCCCCCCATCCATCAGATAACGTTGGAGGAGGCCCAGGGACATTGGTGCTTTGGATCAGTTGATTAAAGATTAAATAAAGTTTTCTTTTAACCCTTTACATACTGCTAAGGATGTCCGCAAAAGAGGAGGAGGACCAAAGGGCACTACAGCGTTAGGAATACAGCTTTGTATTTCTAACACTATAGAAACCCTTTAAGTGAACTGTTGGGCAACCCTTGGCATGCCAGATGTTGTGTAAATTTGCCCTGATGCTTTGCCAGGATTATGGCTGTAAGCATTATGGGGGATGTAGTCCACAGCATCTGGAGTGCTGAAGGTTGCGTAACCTTGGTCTATGCTCTGGGTCTGATGGGAGGTGTAATGACCACAATTGTCTTGTCAACAAAATACCATTAATCACTGTGACTCGGTATTAACCAAAAGATTTTCTCTGCTCATTTGGTAAAGTGGGCAGCTCAGACAAAAGCCTACTTAAATAAACAAAAACTCATATAAAAATATTAAAAAATTAAGTGATTAATTGACCAAAAACTGTCTGAATCTGCATTTTAGGTTTATATTACACTGGTGACCTTTTTCAATACACATTTACCTGCTTTAATAAAACATTCAGTTCTCCGCGTTCTAACTGGTCCTGGAGTTTTAGCTGTTCTTCCCATATCTGTTTCCTGTGTAAGTTCTCCAACGCTGTTTGTTTCTCTTGCAAGCTGTTTAGCAATATCTTCTCTGGTTGGATTTTCTCTTCTCCTCTGCCTGAAGTCTTAAACATTTTCAACAATTATCAAAACGATGAAAGGAACTTCATTTATAAATGCATTCATAAATTGTAACATTTCATGCAAAGTAGCTTGTTTGGAAAATTGCTAAATTAATTTATTTGGCTTCAGTTTTTCTAAAGCATTATCATCTCTCCACAACCCTCTGGATAAAAAATTAAAATGGTAATAAATCATGCTCTAAATAATAATTTTACTTTTCGACTGTCTCTCACTTCTGTACTGGACAACCATTATGCATAAGATTACGCTGCTATGTAATAATATTTAATAATGCACCTCTTTTTTTACAGCAAATTCCCCAATTTTACACCATCAGTATTCATTTCTCTTATTGCAGGGAAAACAGCTGTTTGTAACAAATTTGTTTGTAGATTGCTGCTTAGGGATACCTTAAAAAATAATGCAAAGTGTACAAACTGCACTGTGTTATTTTCCTGCGTATTTATTAATTCTTTATACAAATATTAAGGGATAAATTAGAGATTATATGGTACGTCTAATCTTGTCAAATGTCAGACACAGATGCAGAAATGTAAATTAATCTTATGAAAATTGTCACATACCCATTGTTTGGGCAGTTTAAAAACCCAAGTGACATTTCTGGGACTGAAACCAAAATGACACGAATATGTAAACAACAATGAATAAATACAATAAGTACAGTTATGTCAAGCATCTTTACTATACAGGAATTTAAAGGGACTTATAACAAACTCCAAATAATTTATTTAGCTGCACTCAACATGTTCATAACACCCTTTCTCCTCATCTCTGCCTGTCTGCTAGAATTGAGTCATGAAGTTTGGCCTACAAAGTAACCTGTTATATGTTGCAATACAAAAAAAAGTTAGTGATATTATTATTTTTATTTTATTATTTATATAGCGCCAACAAATTCCGTAACGCTGTACAATGGGTATATATGTATATGTATATATATATATACATTGTCTTGGGAAGGAAGGGATTAATCCTCCCTTAAAGACATCCTCTTTAACTAGGAGCAAATTTACATCTCGCAGCTAATCCTAGTCTTGCATTAGGTTTCTATTTTGGTGAGAAAACCAAGTGGATGTGTTCATATTTATGCATGCCTTTAGAACCGTCATGACGTTGTTGTGCAAGGGTAAAAATATAGGGGAGCTATGATGCCAAGTGTCTTTACGATTTTGGAAAAAGCCATACATCTTGGCATAAGGCAAAATCTTGTGTCTTGTGGTTTGCCATCAATAGAAAATTTACATTTTGTGTCAAAGAGGCTGGAGATGAAATAATGAGATGACTGACAGTATAAAAACATTGAGGAACACTAAGTCAATGCACAGTGAGTAATATCTGCAGCCAAACTACATACTGCAAATAATCCTTAGAAATCACTGTAATGGCAGAACGTCACACTTTATTTATTGGGGCTGTTGCCTGAAGCAAAAGCTGATAAAATATTGCCGAGAAGAATAAATCAAAATACTAGCTGGAAATGAACTATTTTAAGCAGAAACAATAAATTATAAAGGCTAGCATTCTGAGAATTTGTGCAGATGGGTATAAATAAGTCTTAAAGATCTATTGTGTATTTAAACTCTCAGACCAATAACTCACACATAACAAAAACCTGACCAGAGACATCGAAGAGGGAGAACTTTATCCGAACTACACATTACACTTCTTTGTCTGTTCTTGACAAGGAACATAGGGGTGGTAGTTGAACAACAGATTGAGTAATAACTGCTGGATATGCCTGGATAAGAGTCTATTTCCCATTACAATCACAAAAACTTTTCTGGAAATTACATGTGATGTCATGTGATGTTCTGTTTCTCTTTAAATGTGTGTGAAATATTCAGCAGTTGACACCACAAATCAGTGTCAACAACAACGAATGAGAGGGAGCCACGATGGAGCACACAGGTCTAGGACAGGGTGGAACATTCTGGTTTTCAGACCTTACAATTGGACATTTGTTAAGTCAAGAGGATAAGTAAACATAATACTAAAATTCTCGAGAATTAAAGAAGCATTACATTGTCCTTGAAATACCGTTGCCTTTCCAACCTTTACTTCCACAAGGCCTAAATGTTTTGTATTTGCAAATGATTTAACGTGGATTAGCAAATCTCTTCATGCACGGTCAAAGGTCTATCTGCCAAAAGCCCGAACCACACACTGATGAAATGACCTGTTTGTATTACATTTACATGGATAATTCTGGCTCTTCAATTTTAGTAACAAAAATATACATCAAACAAGCCATGGGAATGAATTTTTTTTTTTTATATTTTACCTTCTCGTTGGCTGTTGATTGATAAGATATCTCCCTCAGTTCTTCCTGTAGCTTCTTCAACTTTTGTTCTCTGAAACTTTTAACTTCATCGGCCAAATAGTAGGCTTCCTCAACAAAAGTAAGAATGTGGACCTAAAACGTTAGCACAACATAAACCAAAAAAGTTACTTGTGCACCATCCTTTATCCACAAGCTCATTTAAGTATCAGAGGGCTGTGGGTTGTATTAACATAATTCTCTTTTCTGTAGGACTGCAAACGGCACCATGAAAATGCAGAATAGAACAATGAAATAATGAGGATTGCCAAGTAGTACAGTCATACTGAGAAAATGGAAAGAGTAGTGTTTTAACAGATTTCTTATTTAATTTGAAATGAAACTGGTGTCATCACAGGCTGTTAACGTGAAACCCTACATTTTACTTTTGAGCAGGGGGTCTTCTCAACTTAAAGGCAAACTCAAGACCATTAAATGACCTTTGTTTGCTTAAGTGCTTTATATGTAAAGGGTGTGTCTTTTTTCATTTTACAAAAAGTACAAATTACAATAGAAACAGGCACTTTTATAAATTAACCTTTTGACACCCCCGTGGCTGTCAATCAGACAGCTGCTCATGTTACTTCCTGGTTTGGTTAGCTCAGTGGAGTTAAACAGAAGTGGCAGAAACTGCACAGAGCACCTGCCTTGCAAAGACTTCCCATTGAGCTTCAGTGGTGAAGTCTGTGATTGGATAATCTCTGAAAGTATGGGCAGTTTAGAAGGGGAGGGCTTAAAAGGCTTCAGACAAGAGTTCTGTTGCAAGCTGTTTTTATATATACCCCCAATGAAAAAAATGCATATTCAAATGCTTTACTATTTTTCATTGTATATCTTCTAAACAGCAACATAGTAGATAGCCCCCCAAAAAGTGTCACTGAACTTATGGTCATATTACAATAGGTATAAAATACATAATTACATTGTTTATGTAAATAGTTACCTTGTCAGAGCAATATTCTTTAAGGCAATCAGCTATTTGTTCAATATAACGCTCTCTCATTTGAATCCTTTTTACCAGATGTTGTAACTCCACAAGTAACAAGCCTGTCTCGGTTTTATTGTTAAATAGACTGAAAATATCTTCTTGACAATGCCCCTTAAGAAAAATGACAAACAAATAATCTGACGCATTCAATTGAATAATAAAACAAAAAAACTTCCCCAATGGTCTACACTTGAACCATCAAAAATAAATGTTGTAATAGCAGCATGTCGTATCATTTTGTTTTAGCTCCTCTGAATGTATTCATTTGCTAATACAGTTCTATCAGTTTTTGCTCCTCTGAAAATCCCACTAATATGTACCATTTGTCATCTAACCATTTAAAAATACTTTTACTGACTTTACTTTTCAGTTGCCCAAGAGAAATAGTCCAGTCACAGGGTTCTCCACGAGGAGTGTATGATTTGATCGCGTGAGACCCCTGCTGACGTCACATGTTGGAGGGAGCTCAGATGGATTAGAGCTAAGTTTCAAAACTTTTTTTGCATTTTTTAAACGGGGAGACCGAGACCTGTTAGTAATGCCCAATAGGACATTTTACTTAATAAATAACATTTACTTAATAAATTAATAAAATGAAAAAGGGTTACAGTAACCCTTTAAAGAGTCATTAAAGAAAATAACCAAGTGAGTTTTATTTTTATTCTTAAAAATAATTAGGCCATAAAAGGGTCTGAATAGATCATTTATCAGCACCCAGGGTTGTAGCACATACACCTTTAAGGCAGGGACCCCAAAAGGTAGAACCCTAGATGTTGTAGAACTACAACTCCCATGATGCTTTGAATGCCTTTAGAATAACAAAGCATCATGGAAGTTGTAGTTTTAAAACATCTGTGGATCTACCTTTTGGGCACCCCTGCTTTAAAATAATGTTTGTATGGAAGGTTGGGTGGGCATCATTACAAGGGAGGCTTGTAGTAATGATGGTATGATTTAAAAAAAAAAATGTTTTGCATATTTACTAAAATAAAAGAATTTGTTCAATATATATTTTTCATGCATGTAAAACAAAATAGCAACTGGAATGTACTTTGCTGAAATATTTTTTTTTTGGTAAAGCAGCCCATACCTCTGCTATAAAAATGAAAAATAATTAATAATAATAATTACAGTCAGGGTATCATCTTCAGAAGTGGTCAGTTTTCTTGCCAGCTTTTCCTGATCATTTTTGGATGCCTTCACTCCCTCTTGCAGAAGAATTATCTGACGCAAGTTCCTTTGAGACAGCACACAGCACACTACGTGCTCCGTGTAACTTCGATTTTCCGAGTTTGCCAGTTCTTCAAATAATAATTTATCCCTTTCCTGCAACTGGAATAAAGACATTAGAACACAAACTGATAGAATGGGAGATAGGGAATGGATGGAGAAAAGGAAGACACAATGGAGAAAATATAGACTGGATAAGGTTTGCTGATAAAAAGGACAAAATAAATTGGTTCGATGACTCATTTAGGGCCGTGTACTTTTAATTACTCAATATGCAAGACATCAATCAATGCAGCTATAAATTAATAAGTAGTAAGAAAACAATCAATGATAGATTTCTTCTTAATTTTTGTAGCGTTACCATTTGTTCTGTTAATAAACAATGCTCCTCTTTAAGCTGAGTTTGCATTTCACTCAGCGGATATTGAATATGTAGTAGTTGCTCTTCTTTGTAGTATTTCCTTAAAAACGCTATTCGATTTTCAACCTGTGAATCTTCGATGGTGTTTGCTGCCTCTTCTGCAGCTTGTTGTCCTGATAACGACGTAAAGCACAAACTGCTTACAATTTTCTGGACATCCCCAGGGCAATTATTAATCTGTAATGGAAATTCGCTAGAATGGTAATTTCGGCTTTATTCACTAATGTAATTTATTTATAGAATTGCAGCTAATTTTTAGTGCTGGATACATGGAGTATAAACACTGAAACTGATATAATAGGTTATGAGAGCTTTAACCACAAGCTTGCAAAGCTAAAGGGACACTATAGTCACCAGAACAACTGCAGCTTATTGAATTTGTTCTGGTGAGTAGAATCATTACCTTCAGGCTTTTTGCTGTAAACACTGTCTTTTCAGAGAAAATGCACTGTTTAAATTACAGCCTACTGATAACTTCACTGGCCACTCATCAGATAGCTGTTAGAGATCCTTCCTGGGTCATGGCTGCCTAAAATGCATCCAAACATTCAGTGTCTCCTCCTTCTGCATGCAGACACTGACCTTTCCTCATAGAGATTCATTGATTCTATTCATCTCTATGAGGAGATACTGATTGGCCAGAATCATGCTGGCTCTGCCCCTGATCTGCCTCCTTGTCAGTCTCAGCCAATCCTGTGGGGATGCATTGTGATTGGATCAGGCTACCACTTCTGATGATGTCAGCAGGCAGTGGTCAGGTCTAAAGGAAACAGAGCCAGAGCTAGCAGCTCCAGACTTGAATACAAGTAAGATTTTGCTATATTTAGGGAGGCATGAGGGGACCAGCCGGGCTAGATGGTGGTTTTAACCCTATAGGGTCAGGAATACATGTTTGTGTTCCTGACCCTATAGTGCTCCTTTAAAGGAGTGATAAAGGCTAGACAAAAGGTAAAGATGACACTATTGTATACTCCACATAGACAATAGAATGTGATCAGTTGTCTTAATAATTACATTCTGCTGCCTGAGCCATGTTCATTGCTGATAGCTACATGTGATCTAACACAGGGGTGCCCAAAAAGGAAGATCTCCAGATGTTGTAGAACAATAGCTCCCATGGTGCTTTGCATGCAGTTAGAATACTTTTAGATTGAGAAAGCATCATGGAAGCTGTAGTTTTAAAACATCTAAGGATCTACCTTGACCTAACACGTATCCATGCAGTTCACATACACAAACAGTTTCAGCAGAATTACCTGTGAATGGGGCGCAGTGATTTCCACTGGATCGTTGTCGCTTTTCACATAACAGTGGAGACTGTGATAGCAGTAAGATCTGGGCTAAGTCTATATTTAAGAGCCACTCTGGTTATGGTCCGCTCAGTATATGGGCGTCATTTCCCAGTTCTCTTTAAAAAAACTTATTGGAATGGTTTGATAAAAAAAAATCTAACATTCCCCAGCAACCCTATCCTGACCCCAGTGCAGCAAGGCAGAGATAATGAGAAATTTAAACATCTGCAATATCAAGTGCAAATCTATTCAAAATTGGACAGAAACAATAGACTCATCTTATCATTGCCATTCACTGGAGGACTGATTGACACTTTATAATGTGGACGGCTATGGTGCAATCGTTTTGATGCTTTGAGTGCCCCTTTGATGTGACTTTGGAATGAAATGACGCCCGTGTGCTTTCATTCATGCACCCGGATAGTCTAGAATAATTTAGTTGTAAAAATAAAGATACGTTTTCTTCAAACTCTCTCTCAGCTGGCTGCCCCTATATTACTGCTTTGGTACTGTCAGAGAGGTTGCAATGAGTGCATACAGAATGCTCACTGATTTACATACACAGCATTTTCCATTTCAATGAATGGGATATAATGAACACAATATTAATCAATGCATTTACCTGGAGCTTGTTGTAGACATCTAGAATTTTGTACACGTGGGCTTGTGTTACAAGCTCTTGTTTCACAAACTTGGTTGCTATACTCCTTAGAAGTTCATTATGAGACCTTGTATCCCCCACTAGCAATTTTGCATCAACAGAAGACACACCCTGTCGAATACAGAAAGCATGAAATATAGTTTGAAATATTTGATTATGCTTGCAGACCTGCTTTCAAATAACTTGTTTCGCTACTTTTTCTCTAGACCATTCTAAACCTGCTGCTGCCTTAAATGGGCTCTAGCGATGAAAATACTGTAGTGTGCAGCATGTTAATATACACCACTTCATAATAATAGCAGATATTCCGGTTCGGAATCCAAAAATTAGGATTTTCACCTTAACATTTGCTTTCAGCTCTGATTGAAACTTTTTGTATGGAACCATATCAAATGCCTTTATCCACCTCACATCTTATTTACCTGCATCTCCTGCATGGCGTCATACTGCCTTTGACCGCAGACTGGTAGTATATTTTTGGCAAGATGCAGTATTGAGGCTCGAACATCAATGCCGAAATAATCTTCAGGTATAATGGTGGCTGGGTTTAACCCCATACTTTTTACTTCTTCCAGGTGCTTTTGGTGTAATGCCTGGCGAGCGGTTCTGTGGACTTCAGTTAACTCCTCTAGAAGTCTTTGCCACTCAGCATATATATCACTTTCTTGACTAGTTCCCAGCAACTGCAAAGAGAAAATTGCACGAAATATTATATGACATAAAATGTTAAATGCTGATCCCTTGCGGTAGCTCTTCCATCACTCTCCTAAAGTAATTTCCACAGGGGATCTTGTGTCTTTAGAGAAGGTATTTGAGGCTCTATAGGTGTGTATTAGACTTGATTTCATTGCTTTGAGTCTGTCTGTCTATCACTTTCTTTCTCTCTCTCTCTCTCTTTCTCTATCTACTTGTTTGTTTTATCATCTGTCTGTGTGTCTGTCTGTATTGCTTAAAACAGAGCATGTATGTGCTGGTACATTTAACCTCAAATATATGCATTTCACCTCCCATTTACTGCATATATCATACATTTGAGACTTAGCCATAGAGTTTCTATAAATGTCAATTACATATCAGTTATATTCAATACTCATGTATATTGTTTGAAAAGCATCATACTCTTTTGATATTTATAATTATCCTGAAAGAAACAAAGCACAATTCATCTCCTCATATAATTAGTATTAACATTAGTATTTCATAATGTTTTTTGGATTCACCACTTTAGTTTGTATTTCAAATATTAGCTAAATACTGTCTTTTTTCCTGTATTAGTGCAGAATTATCACGAATATCGCCAATTTTGAAAGAACAGTTTGTTTTCCTCAACCATTCAAACACATTGAATTGCAACTGTTTTCTCTCTTTCTCTTTTAGAAAACTTTTATTGATTTTTTTTTTTAACCAGAATTCTTAAGATAATGGCTCTAAATAGGCATTATTCACTGCCTTATTATGTTAAATCTTTCTAAAACGTAGTGGCACGATCATTAAGGAATAAAACGTTAGAAAAGATCACCTTTCCAGGGTTACATTGTTCAATATTCATCCTTTCTTTATCTTTGAAACTAAAAAGCAATTGTGAGAGGTTTGTGTCGATTTTTCCATGTGCTTTGACATTAAATGTTTCGTAAAAGTTCCAAATCTTGTTAATTTCTTCAGTGAGTAGCAGCCTTTCAAAATTGACCAGTTCACTTGCTTGTTTCTCTGTAAGAAACCTAAAACATTAAATATTGGGTTAAATTATGTATTTCTGGATTTAATCTTAAAAAAAAAAAAATATCTCACCAGTTACCAACAAGCAGGTAATATTTAAAATGGCCCTCGGCAGTTAGAAGCTAGTAATTCACAGCTGTTTCCGTACCATAGAATTACACTTTTAGTGGTGACTGATAGTTAGTGTTAGTTTTTACATCCCATCAGAGAATAAATTATACTAATAAACATCTGGATACCATGGTACATAATAACAAAATACCAACTGGTCATTTGAAGTCGGTAACTCAGTGAACTTTACACTTGCTTCTGCTTGTCCTAAATTTGACAAGTTAGCAACTGTAAAATCCCAATAAGTCCTGTAGGAGAAAACATATTTATTTCATAGTTAAATGTATTTAAACACTAAAACCTATCTGTAAGTATGGTGTATGTAGTTTTCAATAGAGTTGAAAGGCAAATGTTTTGACTCAGCCATTTGTTCTGAAAATAGAATATATTTCTGAACACCCAAATTTTGGATAAACGTTGGTTCAATTCAGCAGAATTATAGAACCATGATAACAGCAACAGAATCAGAAGAGCAAATTAATTGTCCAATCATTTCAATTTGGACAGAAAATGCTCCTCAGTGTACTGCAAAATACATACATTTTATTATATTATGTATATATTTTGCAGCACACTGTTGGTCCACTTTCATGCATTTTTTATTCTTATGATTTTGTTTTTCCAAATTGGATCCTTAGTTCTGAAATTCTGCAGAGCCATACTGACATTTGTCCAAACATTGTGAGTCCCGAAACATGTTCTGTTTAAAAAAACAAAAACATTTCAGCTAAGCTGAATTTTCTGTACATGCACAAATCTAATGAGAATTTAGTTATTTTTGTCTTAATTAATTAAGTGTGAGTGTGTGACTAATGTGTGTGAGTAAGAATTACAAAACGCAAGACCAGAGACAAACCTCAGAGTGCAAAAATCTTACACAGAATGTTAGCACCTATGGATTAATGGATGAAAGTTACAGTAAGCGAAACAAACATGGGCCTTCCAGTTGGGCAAACATGGGCAATACATTTGTTATATAATATACTCTTTAAACCAAATTTTGTTACAGGTTAGAGTATATTGACATTGTAATTGGTAAACATACCTGAACAGGTAGTCTTGATGTCTGGAAACAATGTCGGCATTGGAAAACCAAGGCACGTTTGATGACAACTTTTCTGTGTCCCCAATAGGTACCACTTGAAAACTGTCGGAATTTGCGGCAGATGCTTTAAGTGTGCTACGGGAGGAATAACCTAAAAAAAAATTAAAGCACATTAGTAGTTTAAAAAATACATTTAGTTATTTATGATTTGACTTAAACTCTTATCAGGAATTGTCGAAATACTTAACTTCATCGTTTGAAGAATTGTAGGTATTACAGCTCATTGCATCTTGAATGCAGGTATCTCCAAACCCAAGTCCTCCTTAATCCTAAACCATCCCAGCCCTTACACTAAGCCACCCGAAACCTGAAACCTCCTTATGCATCAGATACTCTAAACCCTAACCTATTACTACACTTAGCCTTTCTCTAAGACACCCTAACAGTGACCATTTTAATGGAGCTGTTCTAATGTTAAAGGTTACGTAATGCTCCATGTTGACCTTAAAATGAACATGCTTGATTATGACTGTATTATTATTACATTAAATGACGTATCCTGGAATATGGTGCTGTATAAAGTGTAAATGTAATTAGTAGGAATAATGATAATAGTATAATTAATATTATTGCTCCAAGCAAACGTATTTTGATAATTACTGTGCCACATGGTTGTAAAGGAACACATTTAAATATTTTCAGTATTTTAGACAATATTTTCACATTTACTTTCTTTATATATGGGTTGAGCTTCTATTTAACAAATATTCATGCCACACACTTCAAAATTGTATAAATAAAACTATTTAAATAGAGTCGAGAGATACTGAAGAAATAAATTCACAATGAACAAATATCTATATTTCACATACAGTTGCAATAATTTACTACGCAGGCTTCTTACCTGATGCTGGTGCTCGTGGCTCAGCTAATAACTTATAATTCTTCTTTTCTTCCATGATCTGAATCAGATATTTTAACATTGGAGTAAGGGTTCGACCAAGATCCTGGACCTCTTTTCCAACAACATTCCAATACGATGTTTGGGAATTAAGATACTGGGGTGTCCTACCTAATAAAAATAACTAAAAAAATGGGAAAAAAGAAAAAGTTTTTAATCACCGTTATTTTATTTCGCACATTTATGTGTAACCTTAATGTGGTAAACACTACTGTGTGTTCTGTGAAATCAAATCTTTATGAAGAACTGAAACAATGTATTAACATACATGCACAACTCCTCTAAATTGTTAGATAAAATGTGTGAAAATATTAGCACGAGCTGTAATGTATCTGCATCTATGCTTGTGTGCATCTCACTAGATTCAAAGGAAGAACGGAAATGAAGCTTTGGTTTAAACATGTCCTTAAATTTAATTTATGTATGTATACCTTAAATTTAAATGTAATAAAAAGGTACTAGAATGGTATTGGAATGAAACTGTTTATTTTTGACGCTCTGATCTAACCTTCTCTGAACTGTCTTCTCCACGTTTTCCGGACAGCTCTAAAACATTGGTTACTACTATGAATGGATATTTGAATAATTTGGATAACATTTTGTAACATATACATGTTCAGAATGTTGCAGTTCTTATTTATGAATCAGTTTTCCGGAAATAGAGCCATCCCCATTACTGTAGTGCTGGGTACATTGCTAAGTACGCACCTTTGCTTGAAGTCCTTGTAGTTTAATATATTCCCTGACATATTCTAGTCTTGAATATGCAGTGTCCACACCAATTAATCTTTTCATCATGTGGTCCTCAAACTCGTCAATCAAGCTCAATCTAACCTACAAAAAAATCCTATATATTAAAATCGAAGGATGTTTTTGGATTCAAATATCATTATATTTCAATGATAAAAGAACCGCTTTAATTGTTAATAGAAAACCCATACACTCTTAATTTAATCATTTATTCCAAAAAAGTTCAAAAATTACATTAGAAGAAAATTACTCTGAGATTCAAAGCAGGACCCGATAATCACTAAATTACATTGTCTGGCATCAATCACCATTTACCATGTTTTGCTTAGTCCCAACTATTTCTTCACGAATTTGTTCCCTGCTTTTCTGCCACTCTCTCGTTTGGGATCGAAGTCTTTCCGATTCATGCTCTAACTTGTGAGAGAATTGAACCAATTTTTCCATAGTTTTCCTGACAACCATTAAAAACATCAGTTGCCGTTCCATCTCCTCTGTATTGTCACCTGTTGGCAAACAATGCATGTAAAGTCAGATTCTAACATCGAAGGTAAAAGACATTCACAGAAAAACGAATTGCATTCCTGGTAGGGGGCTTAAGATTCCAGGGTGTTTAGAGTGTACCTCTAAACTAGCTATACATATACCAGGATTCTTTTGATGTGTATTCAGGCACTTCAATATTTTCACCATATATCTATTATAACGAAAGGGAAATAGAAAGAACTGACGAAGCAAATTGCAAACATTCACATTTGAACTGAATTTTAATAATGAAATGGCACATTTATACAGAAATAAACCACAAAACAGTGCGGTGTAGATGGAAGACATGCTAAATGCAGCCCTTTCCTTGTGCAAAAATGAGAATCATTTGAAAAGCCAAGACAATGTATCAGTGGTTTGTGCCATTGAACAGGAGCAGCTACATTGGAATGTGCATCGAGGAGTATGGCATCATGTTCATGTTAATAATAGATGTGTAGGTTGAACACATTTGTATGGCTGTTGTCAAACAAGCTTAAAGCAGGGAGGTGTTAAGCAGCCATGGGAGACAGGAACGCAGGTGGCCAAGGACCAAATATGAAGCAAATGTCTTAACAAAAAATGAGGAGTAGCTCATTGAATATATCAGGGCATATTGACAGGTTGCAATAGCAGTCCACAATGCCATTTGTTGGTGTACTCTAGATTGTAAGCTTGTTTGAGCAGGGTCATCATCAACCTTTTATTCCTGTAATATTTTGTAATTGTCTCATTTATTGTAATATTTTTTTCCCCTTTTATAATATTGTAAAGCACTGCTAAAAATGTATGGTGTGGTTTATTTACTAAACAACACATTAGAAGTGAACTTAAATAGCTAAAGTCATAGTTGGAGATTGTTTCAAAATCAGCTCTTTTTGCAGAAATTTAGGAATTAAGTATCCAGTATATTTCAATTCTATTATTTTGAGAACCTCAAAAACTCAAAAGCTAATTTCAGATTATTTTCAAATACTAATGATTATATTATTTAAAGAGACACGATAGTCACCAGAACGGCTACAGCTTATTGTATTTGTTCTGGTGCATATAATCATCCTCTTACGGCTTTTAGCAGTTAACACTGTGTTTTCAGAGAAAATGCAGTGTTTACATTAAAGCCTAGGGATAACTCCACTGATCACTCATCAAATGGCTGCAAGAGGTGCTTCCTGGGGCAGTGCTGCACATTGAGGCACTGCCATTCAGTGTCTCCTGCCTCTGCATGGAGACACTGAACTTACCTCATAGAGCTGCATTGATTTAATACATCTCTATGAGGAGATGCTGATTGGCCAGGGCTGTGTTTGGCTCTGTTGCCAGTCTCAGCTAATCCTATGGGAAGGCATTGTGATTGGCTGAGAACAACACTTCGGATGATGTCAGCCAAACAGAGAGATCACGGGCAAAGTCGGCAGCTGCAGACTTGAACAAAACTAAGGAATACAAGTGTTCCTTTCATGCCCTTTTTGAAAAATTGTACTGTTTGAAATTTGTTCTAAATTATTAAAAAATGATTTACCGATCCAACATTTCTGTAAAAGATAACTGAATAAATAACAACAATGTGCCAGATTTATTCCTTAGCTACTGGAATTGTAATACCAACACCTTTACCTAATCATTGAATATTATCAAACCGTCATATATTTATTATTAAACAAAACAATACATTCATCTTTAGTTAGAAGGCATGTTGTAGTTTTGTTGGCATGTTTATTGTTTTATTTGTAGCATAGAAATACATCTTACTCATAAAAGGCAGTTGACTGATCTTGATGGATAAGCTGTTTAAATTCTGTTTGGATCTTCTTTGAGTTTCACAAAGGGTTGATTCTTCGACTGATTGACAAAGTTCCTCTAGTGATACAATCTTGTCTTTGAATCTACTCTAAAGGTAAATACAAAATTAAACAGCAACATCATTAATTTATTTCATTTTACAAAACATCGTCAAAAGGAGCCATGTAAATACTTAACAAAACATTGATATCAAATCTGGCAGAGATCGTCATACCTTGTGTATCTTGTCTTCTCTCGCGGCATCAGTGATATAAAGTATAAGAAGTTTTAAATCTTTTAAAAGTTCTCCTTCCTTGTTCTTTTGGTTTTGCCAAAATCGCTCTCTTGATTTTAATTCTCTTCCAAGTGATTCCAACTAAAACCACAAATATTTGTGATAAATTTACATAGACATCAATATGCATAATTACCAGTTCACAGTAATGAAATGAAGGGGCACCATATTCCATAACTGATCATCTCATCTTTCATTAAACATCAGCATTAATTAGGTGAGTAAGATTGTTAGTTACTAATACAAGCCAAGCTGACCTCGAAGGGTAGGAAAAGCTTGGCCTCCAGAGGTAAGTATGGCTGTGAGGACGAAGGCATAGTTTAAAATGCTTTTCCACTAGACCTTTTTACACTTTAAAAATACAATTACATTGTCTCCCTGGAATAGGCTTTTATTGTAAATCTCCTTATTGGATGGCCAGAATATTAGGGATGCAGTGTTCCTTTGGAACTAAGGAAAATATCTTCTTAGATACACTGTATCTGTATGCATCATTATATTTTGTCTATTTACAAAATGACGTTGGTCGTAGAAAACATTTGCAAAATGAATGTACTGACCACAAAATATAATACTTACCAGATAATAATCCGTTCCTTTCGACGATGTGCCTGACTGTACAACTGGCATAATAATTCCTGTTAATGGGCTGGTTTGAGCACCTACTACTGATCCACTGTCACCTGTGATTGGATCAATTGTTCTAGCTCCCAATTTGATTGGAATAAGTCCTTAAGGAAATGTACAAATAAATGTTACCTATATTTACTTAGATATTTGTTTTTGGAGCAAAAAGAGAACACATCAGGTTGGGACGGGGGGAATAAAATGTGTTTTTTTTGCAGCAAAAGTTCTTATCATAAAAATATGCAGTGACAGTACTGTAGATCCACGCATACACACATACATGTACAGTTTTGAATGTATGGCAGATTTATTTTGAATCAATGGTAACTATACCTTTCCCTTTGGCATCCTCCATTGTTCCTGCCAGCGGAATTAAATGGCCTTTAATAAAATCATATTCTACTCCAAGAATCGGCACCATTATATCTGAAGGTCCAGGGTCAGGGATTTCCATTCCTAATACTGCAGGAACCCACAGCTCTGTCCTGGGATAGAATATCATACCTGGTGCATTTTTTAAGATAAAATATTGCTTTGACTTCAATATGGCAAATATACAAAACATATGGGATATGAGTATGTATCTATATATTAAACAACTGAGATCATGAATATTATTATTTTATGTAGTAATGTAGTCAGCTTAATACGGTTTGTATTGTTGTTTTTCGTCCTTCTTTAATGTTGATTTTTTTAACAAGAACAACTCATGAACTGACGTGCCTAAAGTAGTCATATTATCATGATCCGATAATAACACATAAACACAGTAACGTACACTATACTTATTTTCAAATTTGGTAAACTACCCCTTACAACAAAAAATGCTGTGAGGAGGGGCAATAAAAATGTTATTACATTTTAAGACGGTAAACAATCTTTATAAATTAATTTAAAAAGTAGAGTAACACCATGCGCTAGGAAATGAAAAAAAAATGTTAGAAAAACAAAACAAAAAACTAAAAAAAAGATTTGTGTTTGAGATTTTAATATATAATATTGTAATAAAATATATTATTATTATTATATTGAAGCTAATAGCAAGTTTTTAATTACAATATTAAACAGATAGGTAAAAAAACATGTTCTTTTTATTAGTAACAAATTTTTTTATTTTTTTTATTTTGTTCATTAAACTATATCATCTACTGTAATTAGCATAAAGTAAGAAATTGACCATGATAAACAAAACTGACCATAAAATAAGGGTGGTTAATGTGTACAATAACTCCATATATATGGATTTAAAGTCCCACTCACCTAAATTTCCACCATAGCATTTAAAATCCACAGCCATGGACTTTTGGCAGTTCAAATTGTGCATTCTATACATTAAGTGTTGCTGCCTTATTGCAATGGATCTCTTCATATTTTCCATGGCTTTATCTAAAGCTCTGTATACTTGTTCAAAGTCATCTTTCACTATAAAATCATCTCCAGGGACTGTGTCTTTAAGTGCTTTCAGAGTGTCAAGCACATTGATCTCAGCCATCAGTAAATTGGACTCTAAGAGCGCTTGGTAACCTCCAGAATGGGGCATCACTTTTCCTTGATTGAAAACAGCACCTTGAAGTCGGACTTTTTTCCCACTCAATGGCTCACAGAATTGATCTCCAAACACAGAAATCTCACCAGATGTAGACATTAACCCTCCGACTGGAATAACATGACCTATGAAAAAAAAGATTCAACAAAGTCTAATTAATAATTAAGAACTTTTGAAAAAACTATATATCTAGGTTATTTTGAGTACTGTTAGTCAAGTACTACAGATGAAAACACATGACTAATTATGGAGGTACAGAGATGTCAGGATTTTTTGCAATCCTTTTTTTTATGAAAATCCCCCCAAATTTATTGAACAAATTTCATATTTCACTTGTGCTTGTATGGGGAATAATGTTAAAATAAATCACAAAACCAACTAAATCTTAGGGTCAGAATAATTAGCATATTTTTTTTATTAGCACATCTCCAAAAATTCTTAAAGGGACACTATAGGCATCAAAGCAACTTTAGCTTAATGAAGCAGTTTTGGTGCACGAATTATGTCTCCTAAGTCTCACTTCTCAATTCTCTGCCATTTAGGAGTTAAATGTTCTGACTCTAAAGAACGCAATCCTAAATGTATTGGGTTCTAGAGATGCTCAGATCCAGAAATCATACCTGCTGCACCTGATTTCAAACAGTCATACATTCATATTGCAAAAAAAATTTATTCAAATTTTGGAACCAGAAATGTTATATCTGCAGATTTACTGAGCAGACAAAATATGTACTGAACTCTGCCTTGGAAAATCAATAATAACTTCTACGATAACATTACAAAATTCCTGAAAAGCTAATTATATTAATAGAAGAGATGAAACCTTGCCAAATACATTAATGTCATATGTCATGTTAGTCATTATCTCTAACAATGAATCATAATAATATCAAACATTACTTATGCATATTACATATAAAGATAACGACACTTTAAGCACCAAAATAACTTTAGCTGAATTAAGTGGTTTTGATACGTAGATTAAACCCTGCAGCCTCACTGGACAATTTTCTGCCATTTAGGAGTTAAATTAGGAGTTATTCCGTTTTATTAACACCTCTCCTGGCTGTATGTATGCAACTTCCCTACAAGCATTCTGAAATAGAGTTCAATGTTTTCAATTTTACTTTTTTGTACATTGTGTTTAATGTAGCAGTTCTTGCCTTCTTCTCTGTTCGATGCCTGCTAGATCCCGCAGAAGACTCCCATGTGTGATTAAAGGTCAATGGACAGAACAGGAGCTAAAAACTTATAAAGTAACCACTGTGCTGCACGATCTGTTTGAAAATGAATTATTTTTTTTCATGCAGGCTGTGTGAATCCAAGCCAGGGGAGGTGTGGCTAGGGCTGCATAAACAAAAAACAGAAGTGATTTAACCCCTCAATGGCAGAGAATTGAGTAGTAAGACTGCAGAGATATGATCCACACCAAGAGTAAGCAACCTTGGGCACTCCAGATGTTGTGGACTACAGCTTCCATAATGCTCTTAAAACCATAATGCTGGCAAAGCATCAGGGGAAATGTAGTCCATAACATCTGGACTGCCAAAGGTTGCCTACCCTTGATTTATACACTAAAGCTGCTTTATTAAGCTAAATATATTTTGGTGCTTAGACGGTGTCTTTAACGTTTATCTTTTCTCTCTTTAACATTGCATGCTATGTTTTTGTCTCATGCTGTATCAACTATGAAAACAAGTTGTTTTACCTAAGTTGGGTACAATTTTGTACATCATTTAGACAGGAGTTTTGATCTACCAAACATAAACTGCAACACAAAACATCTTTTCTTTTAACATATTTGTGGTACGAGTGTGTTTTGCACTGACTTTCCACAATGACCTCAGTATCGACTTATGTTTTTCCTACCCAAAAAAATTCCATTATATGTTATGTTATTTATCTTGGTTTATTAGAAACGCTTCCTCTACATGTGGTGTGCATCTCTGTTTTCCTAATCCTTACAAATTGATTTTACAGTATATTACAATATATTTATACATTTAGTATATACAGTTCTGTAAAGCAATTCTGTGTCACACACAAACACAGCACATATAAAACCCATAAAGACAAACATACACGCCACTGACCTGTGTTGCTGTCCAATTCAATGCCTAGAATTGGAAAAATCTTTCCTGTTTTAGGGTCAATCATAGGGCCTCCTATTTCAATTGGTGAAATCATGCCAGTGAGAGGATGGGCATATGTACCCCCCAGTGCCATCCATTGCCGTGTTTGTGGATGAATAGTTACAGCAAGAATTGGCACTTCCATTCCAGATGCATGATCCAACATTAGTATCAGCCCCTCATATTTTTTGTGATGATTAATACTTGGAAGATTGCATTCCACTGGTAGCCCAGATCTCGGACAGAGGGGATAAGGAAGAAATGGGAATACAAGTGTTTCTGTTGTCGAAATTTCTCCTTTTTATTTACAAAACAAACAAATAAATAAATAAAATACATAAAACTATCAAGTAAACAGATATGGATTTGGGCGAACCAAAATTAATCCAAATTTTTTTGTTAATTTCTAAAATACTAAGGCCCATTAATCCTCTACGGGGAATGAAAGAAGGTGTCAGTCACAAAGTTACAAAGTATCAATGTAGCGAGTTATTGATTTGATTCATTATTGGGAGAATTGAGTTATCGATTAGATTTTTTAGAGATCTATTTATTTTAATTTGTTTATGATTTAATTTGATTCTGGAATTTGGATGCTTACAAATTGCTGAATCACCAAATTCAGGAAAAATTAGATTCAGAACAAAATGAATTGTCCATGTTTATTTTAAAAAGCAAGTACAGTTCAAAGCCTTTCAAGAAATGTATAGGTGATCAGTTGAGTATGCCATAATTTAAAGGGACACTAGTCAAAAGAACAACAACAGCTTAATGTATTTGTTCTGGTGAATGTAATCATTACCTTCAGGCATTTTCATGCAAACACTGCCTTTCCATAGGTACACCTCCAAGTGGCCACTCCTCAGACGGCCACTGGAGGTGCTTCCTGGCACAGTGCTGCACAGGAGTGTAGCGCAGACCTGCGCGGTGCTGGATATAAGGAAAGTTTTCACCTTTTCTAACAGGGCTATGGGGGCATGTTTGTGTTCCTGACCCTATAGTGTTCCTTTAATTAACTAAATAAAGGAACCAATAGATAAATAAAACAAGGGACCAGACCTTAGTTTGGGCATGCCCGTAGTAGTGTAAGAATAAGACCAGAGAATAAATGAAAAAGAAGAAAACTCAAATGAAATGGAGTATCCAAATTAAAAGCATTTTGGAGAAATATATATGCATTAATTCAAAACATTAACCTATCTTTGATTTATTTTACGTCCGAATTAGGCTTGTTTAAAAAGTTTCCTCGCTCCATAAATAAAATCGACAAAATAATTATAGGACATATTTTAATTGCTGCCACTTGTTCACTACCCCGATACTGGAAATCTCCCAAATTACCGCCAATTAAAGAAATTCTGATCCTGACACTAGAGAATAAAACATATGAATTGGCCATAAGACAACCATCCCCCTTATTAGATAAGTTATTATACTACTGGAATACATGGGAAGAAAATGTAAAGAAAATGTATTGTTTGTAGTTATGTATCATTTATTTGTTATGTTTACATAATGCTATTATCGATATATATATATATTATTTTAAATGATGTTTTATTCATTATTTGATGTACAGATATATACCTAATGTGTATATATATATATATGAATGGATACCTCTTTTCTCCCAGTTTCCCCATTCCATTAATGTTTATTGTATCTGTTACTATTGCTCACTGTTTATTACAATATATATATTAAAAAAAACTCTTTATTAAAATATATTTGACAAGAAATGAAGGAGTATAAAATAGGAATTAAGACCCAGTCCACGGAAGGCTTGATCCTTGGCATCGTGGGTTAGCAATGTGCAATTAATGTGTATCAGAGATTATGTGATGTGAATTTTGAAGGGTCCTACATTTTGTGATTGTTTTTGGATGTGTCATGTACCATGGCTGTGAATTTGTCAATGTCAGCTACCTCCAGCATTTTGGAGCTAACTTTATCTAGTGTATATATTCCCCAACGTTCTGCTTATCCCCTGCCTTGTGCAGAGAGACAGTTTGGCAACCAATTTGTATTGTGCTCTGAGCCAAAACCAATGATCCACGTGTATATTAGACATATAATGTATTTAAAAAACGAGCAATAATGCAAAAGAATATGGTGATGAACTAAAACTGATAAAGAAAACCCAAACGATATCAATTTAACAGCATTGTGTTTTCACTGTAGACATAAACGTGTATTAGGTCCTGAATGTGTGTTAATGCTATAGATAAGATAAGATACATAAATACATTACATCAAAGATAATGTTTGACACATAGATTGCATCAAAATGAATGTTTCACAAGAGGTTTAACCCCTTAAGGACACATGACATGTGGCATGTCATGATTCCCTTTTATTCCAGAAGTTTGGTCCTTAAGGGGTTAAATACAAGGATTATTTTGTGCGATGATTTATTTATAAACCCAAATAGACTTGGCAATCTTGTTAGTTTTATTAACATTGACCTCAGTTACATTAGTGTTGGGTTTAAATAAAACAATGATCTAAATGTGCATTCCTCTTTCCAAATAATTCATGTCAGGTCATTCCTCTGTGAAAGAACATTAAATTAAGCTATAAAAGAGGTTTAATTGTGCTCAAGAGAGGAAAATATTGGTTTTGATGACATGGGAAATATAGTTTTTTTTTAATGCTACTGAAAATGAAAGCTTGTACTTGCATTTTCTCCTGAAGTGCAATAGCCTAAGTGACCCTATTGATGAGAATGGCTCCAAAGACCTATTTGATTTTTTAAAAATGGTTTCTTTACTTACCGAACGCTGAGTCCACAGTAGTAATTAGCTGGGAGGTTGTGGGATCATACACAACATTCCCAGCAATTGGAAGAACTTTTCCAGTTTCACTGTGCACAAAATAGTCATCTGGAACTGGCATTAAATAATGACTGGATAGAAGCATAACAGAATGTGAAGCTGGACTTAGAAGCCCATGTGTGCTATTCACACTTACAAGATTGCTGTCCCGCACCGAGCCATCTAAAGCTGCAATAGATACAACAAAAAAACATAAAATTAATAAAAACCATAAACATCAAAATAAGGTGAAAATGTATAATACCACAATCTGTCAGAACCGTGCATATAAATGTTACAAACACAAATGCATGTTTGTTTAATCTTTCATTCAGTCATTTTTTAAATGAGACAGATATAAGAGCTTAAAAGCAGTGTGGTGAATGGCTCATTGGTCTTTGGGTATGATTCTCGCTTTGGGTGCGAGAGGTCCCGGGTTCAAATCCCGGACGAGCGCAAGCCTTTACTTTCATTTTCCAGCTGAAGTGGTAGAGGTTAACACAGTAAAGGAGTTTAAGCATGCATGGGATAGGCATAAGGCTATCCTAACTATAAGATAAGACTAGGGAGTAATGAAAGTATTTAGAAAATTGGGCAGACTAGATGGGCCGAATGGTTCTTATCTGCCGTCACATTCTATGTTTCTAAGAGGGAAGACAAAATGCCTGATGATGATGATGATGTATGGTAGTTGGCAGGAGAAGTGAAAGGAAGATATGGTTACTTGAAGTTCTCCATGTTTCTCACTGGTGCTTAATCCTTTAGTATCCCATTTGACTCACCTTAAAAGGTCCTCGATTTTTGAGAAGGGGCCTCATCTCACAACCTCTACTAGCAGTAGCTGCTTGGAAAACTTGACAAAACTTGATGGTGGAAGCTCACCCTTTTCGAATGTTTTGTCCAGCTAAGATTTTATTTCTTAGTTCTTAGTTTGTTTTATATGAATTGATTGCTCAGTCATTACGAGTATTTCATAAAGATCTTTTCGTTATAAAATACTCAGAAGAGACAGAATTTCTTTTAAATAATGATCTCATGTCCTTCTTAGGCCATCAAAGGAGTCAAACAAATGCAACTTTTCCACGGATTACATTTTGCTGTGATCATTTGAATTACCAAACTCTGAGACAAAATTTATCTGAATCACAAACCAACTGAAACAGCCAATGGCAACAGAATGATAGAAATCAGAAGATTCATGGCTAGGGGACAGTTACAAAATGTCTTTATTCATAAAGCAAGAGGGAGTAATCGAGGGAAAAAAGGAGGAACAAAAATAAATATTTTTATATACACTGATATATCTATGTCAATATACTGCAAAATATATGCATAATATTTATATTGTGTTATTATGTATATGTTTTGCAATACACTGATTTTGCATTTTTCCATTTCCCGAATCAGTTTTTCGGTATGGAAATTCTGCTGAGTTGAACCAACGCACGGCTGAAAAAAAATTCAGAAAAAAATGTTTGGCCAAACTGAATTGTATCGGTATGTACAAATCTAATGACAACTAGGGCTTGTGTCCAGATTAAGTTTAAAATGTATTAAATCATAGAGTGATTACTTATCAGAGCCATCTGAGGAGGTGAGACCTTCCCCTTCTTATTGCGTTTTCTCCTGTTCTGTCTAAATTCTGTATGTTATGGCATTGTGTTTTTATATAATGTATTTGAGCCCTTGTAAGCCTGACTCGTTATGGTTTTGTCACCAATGGCTCTCTGCTTCGTGTCTCTTTATTTAACTTCAATAATCTGTTACTGGTTAAAAATAAAGACACACATAATATTACCTATAAGATCCCTTTTGGTAAGAGCGCTTGTTCTGTCCTTGTTAACAAGGTAGGCGCCTGTTCCTTCACCCAGAACACCCCACGCTTTGAGCCTCTCACACTCCTTCATCACCGCTGTATGCATTCTGCTACATGCATCTTCTAACTGTAACATGAGTCTGAAATAAGTAAATTAATCATGTTTCAGTAAATATAGGAAAATATTGTGAACACAGTAATATCACGGGATCTGAGCCTCGTTTATGGTTATGAATTGGTATATTAGTCTCTAAAATAAACATTGAATTCCTCAGACTCTATCAACATTTAACCTTGCAAAAATTGTTATCAAAATATCTTATTCATGGTGGAAATTCTGTATCATCGTCTCATTCATCTCCTATCTCTCAAACATACACACCTTCTCTTCTTCACCCATGCTTGTATAACACAAGCCATATCCCCGCTCTAATTCCCCATTATTCTATATCCACATGCCATACATTTATCTTTTAATCATCAATGGTACACAATATTTAAAGGGTCTCTGTCCCTTTGCAGGTTTTATTTTTAAACAATTAATTTTTTTGTCCTTGAGTTCTGGTTTTCTTTATTTATTTTTACATATATTATAGATTTTTTTGGTTACACGAAAAAAGTAAGATGTACTTTTTTAATAGGGAACATTGTCTTTGACAATTTTTGACAATTGGCAGAGCTCAAGCAAAGTTACATTTCAGTTGCTAAACTAATTTACCCACAATCCATCAGTCAAAAAATAAATCGCACAGAAGGGCAAACCGCAGGCATCATGGACAGAGGAGAACAAAATGGCTGCTCCCAGATACTGAGATCCAGGAAGAGGAAAAAAAACACAATAAATATAAATAAAGGTCAGTAGCAAGGTAGGGAATATAATCATTCAAATACAAGGGGCATAAGAAAAGGAAAAGTGAAACAAAAAATCAAAACATGATAGTGCCCTTTAAATTATTTCCTGCACATTTCCCCATCCTCTCTATTTTATTATATTGTAAAGCGCTGCGGAATTTGACGGTGCTCTATAAATATAATAATAATAATAATAATAATTATATCATTCAGTCCTTATAGTTATCACCATTCTGCATTTTTTTCAGTATCTCCCTATCCTTTCCCAGTAGCATTATCGGTGTCTTTGCTTTATTTGAAATCTTATTACAGTATCCCTCACGAGTAGTCATTATGTGATTGCCGTTTTATTTTTATTTTCCTACCAATGTATAAAAAAAACCCAGATGTACTAATGACTGACCAGAGGAAGCAGAGTGCTTGGAAACGCATGTGAAGTACAGGGATGCTGTAAGCAATTAATGCGATGCCTAAACTTGATAATTCTTCTACATCTGATGAATTATATATAATATAAACTTAGAAACCAGAGTAATCTGAATGTACCTTTCGTGGTTAAACACTTTGTTATTATTATCGTTAATGTACAAATATGCAGTGAGGTCTATAACTGTTCCGTAAAAGCTAGATTTGCTATAATATAGTTATAGATTAGTAAATTAATATTTTTATCCTTCTCTGCTCATTCTTTTTCTGCTATCCTTCTTCTCTGTCCCCAATCCCACATCTTACTCTGTTAATACTTGTCTGTTGTGTTTATTCTCTGTTTTAGTATTTCTGTATTTGTATTCTTACAAGCGATTTGAAAATGTCAATGAAAGAAATTTCAAAGTACAAAGTTAAGTGCTTGGCCGCGTCTTTAAATACATTAGCAGAATGCTGGAAAAAACGATTCCAATTAAACACTCACGATTGGCTATTATATATACAGAGCTTGCTGGCAGACTCTCTGATACTGTTTTTAGTTTTCAGCATCTCAAGCAATCTCAGACATTCTCTCAGAGCGCCATTAAAAACAACGCAATGATCTTCCAAACTCTTCGAATCCTGCTGTAAATTGCCCAGCTGCTTATTTAGAATCTCCTCGTATTCTGCTGCCAAAAGCTTTCGCTTTGTGATTTCCAGTTCAGCCTAAAGCACAGGAATAAGAAAACAAGTTCAAATAAAATGAATAATCTGGATGTAAATTCTGCACCCTTTATTAATGGAATATTGAATATTAAAGGATCACTCTAAGCACCAGAAATGACTACAGCTCACTGCGATCATTATGTTCCCACGAGTGTCCTTTAGTGGTAGTGGTTATGGTACTTGAAGTATTCCTTTAATCTTTCAGGAATCATTACGTATTATACTCGTCCAATTATACAGTGCTGAAAAATATGTTATCACTTTACAAATGCCAAATAATCATTATTATTACAAAATAATACAAACTATATCATGCATACAAGCTATACATTTTTTACAGCCATTCAACATTAAACTATTTCACTTTTTTAAAGGCATATTTTGTATTAGATGGTGAGCTTCAAGGGACAATATAGTCACCAGAACAACTACAGCTTAGGTGGCTGTTCTTGTATTTATAGCATGTCCCTGCGGGCATTTTCATGTAGTGTTTATTTTATTGCCTAGGGACATCTCCAGTGGCAGTCACTCCACATGGAGGCCCAGAACTTTCCCCATAGAGATGCATTGAGTCAATGTGTCTTTATGAGGGGATGCTAATTGGCGCAGAGTGGCGTTTTGCCGTGCATGTGCAAAAGCTTCCCAATGCTTTCCTATGGGATTGGCTGAGATCATCAAGATTGATGCTCTCAGCCAAGGGGGTGGAGCATGAGTGGGACCAGCCACAACCAGATCTGTATTAAGCTGGAGAAAGATAAGTAAAGCACCTATTCAAGGGGATGCCAGAGGACTAAATAGCTATACTGTAAGGAATACATGTTTCTATTTCTGACACTATAGTGTTCCTTTAATCAATCCACAATAAAATAATGACAGAAATTAACCAATTCATGCAATAAATGTATCTTCTATTGTATCTACCAGATATTTGTTTCCAGTAAATATATACTGAAGGACTGCATTACACACAAAGCTACTCTGCTGTAAGCACCTAATTAATGAGTTCATATTTATACCTTAACTAAAATACATGTATTTCAAGATGTCAGGGAGATCTGTCGCCAGACATGGTATATTTAATAAGGATTGTGGTGACAGAAGAATGATGATGATAATATGTGTCTATAAAGCATATTAGAGGGTTAAATTAGAGTGTGCATAGCAGCCAGTTGTCAGTGACTGTTGAATTTAAAGGACAACAGAAACAAGTCTATAATCTCCTTTGAACATCGCTGAAATATGATCAAAAAAAGGGTGCTCTAAATACCATAAACAGTACAGCTCAATGCAGTGCTTATGGTGCAAAGAGGTTATGAGTTCCATACCATGGTTTGTTGGCAAACCTTTTTGTGAGTAGTTTGACAAGAACTAAGGTTTTCCCAGTGCCCTTTCTTAGTGCCTCTCTGCAGCTGTATTGGAAATGTGAATTACAAACTTCCGCACTGTAATTAATAATTTCACCCAACCTGGATGTCAGTGATAGCCTGAATGCACTGCAATAACACACCCACCACAACATCCAATTTGGACAAAATTCATATTGGTAATTCCAGATGATCAATGATGGTGGAGAGGCTGCGGGTTGTAGGTACCAGGGAAAACCCAGTTTTTTTGGCAAATAACTATAGGATGAGCAGCATATCCTCTGTGCACTATATCTACTACACTGATTGTAACGGTACCCCCAGGCATAAAAGGATTAAACCGCCGTTTAGTAGATCTTCCCTTCCAGAGACACAGGCACAGCTACTGCAGAACACCAATCCGCCGAACAGGAAACCATATGAATGCCGTAAACAGCCGAATAGGAAAAAACATACGAATAGGTTTACACTCCTAGCAGTCAAACTGGAACAGCATACAATAAATCCCCCCAAGAACAAGACAAGGCTCTGTTTTGAGGGTCAAGCAGTGAACAGACAGAGCTGTGGGTTTATTGTTCTTATGTACACATTCTTACACATTAGTACCACCCACAGGGTTTTGGAAAACAACCAATAAACATGTACAATACACTCAGACACTCCCACACAAAATCCTCCCCTCTGCCTGTGATACAATTACCTTACAAAATGGGTAATGTAATTATCGCCGGCAGAGAAATACAATTTTTCCACATTATTCATAACTTTAAAAGCATGCATCACATTCACATAAAACATACATTTTCGGAATCAGCATTCTCCAAATACAAACATATGTCAAAATCATCCAAATTGGTCCAGTGGTTCAAAAGAGATCGTAGTCCTTTGTGACCAAAGGAAACATGGCTTTTCTGCTCAAAACCAGTTCCACAGAGTCTTATATCCTGGAGATAATTGGGAAGTAATCCAATTATCTCCAAGGACAGAGGCAAAACTCCATTAAGCACATGGCAGTAAAAAGACAGTAAAATACAATAAAATACACAAGGTTACATTTATTACATAAAATACAGACATGCAACATATCCCCAGATAGCTTAGGTCTGAGCGCACATTATTACTGAATGGCGCTCAGACCACACACATACAGTTCAATTGCCATGGAGCCAAAGTCTTTTATTACACGAATAGGCTCCATGGCATAGCTATCTGGGTTAAATGAGTTAATTCAGTAAATCCGAGAATCTACCGAACGCCAGGGCAGAAATACAGGAATAGACCTTTCTGCATAGGAAAATAAAGAATTTAAATGCCGGTCCATAGTCAAAAGGCAGCAGGCAGGCAACCAGGCTCCTCCAATGCACAGTGGCGAGATTGGTCTCGTCACACTGATCTATAGTGGTTATGGTAATTAGTGTTCCCGTTTAATAGCGTCATTTTCTAAGATAGCTGAGTGGAGAATAATTTAGCAAATTCCTCTACGTAAACCTATTTTTTAAACACATAAAGTATCGTGTGCACTACTGACAATGTGTTACAAAGTAGATTATTTTGGAAGTCACAGATATAAGAAAATACTTCAGTAACATAGTACCTCTTTTTTTTTTCTTTTGTAGCTTTCTAATATGGAACTGCTGTAACGCTTCTGTTTGTAAGAAATATTTAGACATTTTGCAAAAACGTCTTTCAAAGCGCTCACTTCATGTACAAGTTTATCATAGTAAATCTTTACCTAAAAGACAAAACATTGCATGTTCATTGTTATCAAAAATTTTATTTTCACAAGGTTTTTATTTTCTATTTCTAACTTCCCAAATACGTATTTAATCAACATATTTCTGCACCCCTCTCTTAGGTCTCACAATGTGGTCTTGTTTAAACTGCTATTAGTTTAATCAATACTTAGTTGAATAAGAATATATTTTAAAATATTTAGTCATACAGACATCGATAAATCTAAAGAGACAATGTAAGCACTTTAACTTCATTTTATTGGTAAGATGTTATAGTGCCTGCAGTCTGCTACCACGCATTTTTGTTTAAGCCCCAGTTGATCTGTGTGTAATGTCCATGGGATTCATTAGAAGGCTCATTACTGGTAGCATACAAGTCTAATGATACATGCCTTATATTCAGATGCTTCTTTTCTACCATGCAAGATTTTGTTTATTTAAAGAATAAGGTAGTGGGAGGTACACCTGGAATCAATCTAATATAAGCAAAGTAACTCACTTACTTCTTCTTTTAGATGGCCAAGTTTAGCTGTGACTAGAAGAGATTGCTTTAATAAAATATCATAGAATACGTGTGTGTTGAAACATTCCATGTCAACCTGCTGATCATAGTCCCAAAATTCATCATTCACAAGGAAGTCTAAAAGAGGACAAAACAAGGTTGTTTCGGAAAGTCATAAGATAGCACACGTCTGTAAAGGCCCTTTAAATTTCAGTTTTGGGGAAGTCTATTAGATTTACAAACATGAATAAGCTGTCATCTAGGGGAGAACGCATGGACGTTTGTTGTGAACATCTCCCAGCCTTTCCATTTTAATTAATTTGAACACCTTAGACATCAATACATTTTAAGTTTTATTTATATGAGTAGAAGGATGGAGAAGGCAATGATCTGCTAAGATGCTACAACCATTACATAGTTTTATGTCTATTACAGATTAGACAGATTATCTAATTGTTGTGACATTCAATAAAATAAGAGAAAGATAATATTAAACAAACTATTTGGGAAATATTCTGAATACGTACCTTTATAGCAGTCTGACCCAACTACTTTGAAGACATAATATTTAGTATTTTCGTTTGGGGTAAAAATGGAAACTGTAACGTCATAATCTTAATCTTATGGAAAGGTCTTGTTGAAAATCATAGAGAGACCGTTATTCCCTAATTCCGAGTTCAGCTTAATTTTAATCTTCTTTTATCCTAAATTCTCCCAGACCTAAATATCACAAACCCTAAGACCTCCCAACACTTACTACCCTAAACCTGTATCATGGCTTAGACTGCTGTATCCCGCATCATTATAACATTGAGTGTAACAGTGTACCTGGTGACACATTATTATAAATAGCACTCTAATGGTATTATTAAAGGTGAAATCTAGGTTAAAAAATCTAATTTTAATGAGCCTGAACAAAACTTTTAAAATAAAAAATCATGCATTTTTTTTCCAAATGTTTTTTCTAAACTCTTAAAATTCTTGCCCGCGAGCTCTGCTGCTAAACGTTTTGCCCGGCACTAACTTTTTTATCCTTGGCTGTGGACAGACTGAAATTTGGAAGCCATAAATCGTAAGTGGAAATAGATTTTAGTAAAAAATATATAAAATAAAGATAATTAAATACTGGATGTTTTACAAAATATATGATGAAAAATGAAATGCTCAAATGTGCTGGAATAGGTCCCAGAATGAGCTTTATTTAGAAGTGTAGACAAGTCTAAAGGCCTGGACAACTTTTTGTTTTTAATTCTTCTTTCTTTCTCTAACTTTATCCAATCTCATGTAGGAGCTTGCTTTGCACTAACAATTAAAAGAGCAGGATGTAATGACTTCTAAAGTAAACAAACTCTGCTAAGATAGGTTTCAAAATGAATGCTTCTTTTCAGGAGGTGTGTATGGAGGCTGTGTTAGACACAGCCAGGAGTGGTGTTTGATAGAAACATTTAAATATATAAAGGGAATCAAAACAGTAAAGGAGGAGACTATATTTAAAATAAGAAAAACTACCACAACAAGAGGACATAGTCTTAAATTAGAGGGACAAAGGTTTAAAAATAATATCAGGAAGTATTACTTTACTGAGAGGGTAGTGGATGCATGGAATAGCCTTCCAGCTGAAGTGGTAGAGGTTAACACAGTAAAGGAGTTTAAGCATGCGTGGGATAGGCATAAGGCTATCCTAACTATAAGATAAGGCCAGGGACTAATGAAAGTATTTAGAAAATTGGGCAGACTAGATGGGCTGAATGGTTCTTATTTGCCGTCACATTCTATGTTTCTATGTTTCTATGTATAGTTAGTTCTTCATAAACAAATTAGGCACACAAACTACATCACTAAGGGACACTGTAAGCACTTCAGTTCATTGAAGTGGTCTGGGCACAGTGCCCCTGTTCCTTTAATCTTGCAATTATAATTCTGTAATTGATAATCTGCATTAATTACATTGCAAAGTCTGGTAGACAGCCACTAGTGGCGCTTCCATGTTATTATGTGACTTTTGCATGCCTAACTAGTGCTGAACATCCTCCAGTGTCAGCTAAAACCCTATAGGAAAGCGCTGATTCAGTGCTTTCCTTTGGGGTAGTCCTAAAGCTAGCGTGGTGCTTGCAGCGCATACACATGGGGAGGAGCCTGACCCAGTGCTGAGGGTCATCGGTGCTAAATTCAGGTAAATTACAGAAGGGCTTCTGTGCTGCGAGGAGGGGGGCGGGGGAGACGGATGCAAGGGGGCACTATAGGGTACTATAGTGCTAGGAATACTACTTTGTATTCTTAGCACTATAATTTCCCTTTAAACTAAAATGGCTTTCATGTGCATTAGTTTGGAGTTTAAAGCTCTTTCCAATTTTTTTAAAAATTTGGAAAAAATTCCTTCTTGACCTCAGAATCAGATCTCTCCTTGGATCAAGAAGCTGCAACTGTTTAAATCAATATTGAATCAAATTTTTTTCTAAAATGAGTCCATAAGTATAGAAAGTAAGGCATGTGTGCACCATAGACATGTTGCACCATAACCACTGCACCAAGCTGTAGTGATTATAATGTCCCTTTAATGGTGCATGAGGAAGGTGACAGCCAGGGCATGCATATATACTCTAATCCATTCTGGCAATTTTCCTTCATCGAGACTGACATCCCTCACATTCACTATAAAGTTGTGGTTATTGCAAACAAAAACATGCTGTTTATTCATGTCTCTTGCACAATCATCATAGAATGAAGAAAAATATCGTTAATGCTACTTACTACAACATTTCTTTTTATCAGCCTCATCCCACTTTTTATCAGCATGAGTTTTGATCCTCGTTTTCGGATGAAGTTTCTTCACTGTTGACACAGCAGCCCCTTTGGATGAATAACTATTAAAGTTATATTTGAGATGACGTTTTCTGAACTTTGGAAAACCTGCAGTCTTCTGAGTCCAACCCAAGTCTTTAAACCAAACCTGGAAAACACAAGATATTCATAGTATTATTGTATTATTAAAGTGCTACATCTTCAGAATCATCCACAATACCACATTTTATCATGACACATCTTGCATGTAGTGTATAATAATTTATAAATTCTGTTTAGTTTTGTGGGATTGCTGTCAAAGAACTCACAATATTTGTTATTAACGCTCCCCAAGTTTTATGTATTGAAAAGTCATTTCACCCAAGCAGCAGGTAAAAGAGCTATCTATGGCCTCTGGCAGTGGTTGAACCCTGGACAGCTGTCAGTAGTTAGCGCAGTGTTCCAAATCAGAACTTCCATCAGTAAACGCTATTCTGTGCTGTACTAACCCCCAGCAAATATAAACAGAGACAGTCAAGACAGTGCCTTATATGAAATCATGGCTGATAAAAATCAGTTTTATAAATTTACAATTACTGTTACTAAAAGAACAGAAATTTAACTTACAAGAAGTAAGATACAGGTTATTAAAATTAACAGAAGACTTGTTACAATCCCAGTAATGGCTGGCCAATCCGGCTTTAATAGAAGCCGAGGAGTCTTTGCAATTCCGTTACGGATGACATATCTAGGAGCCGTAGGAAAAAACGGACCATCTTCATAACATTGCCCTCCTTTTACCATGACCCGTATATACTAGAAAAGAAATGTTTTCATTATGAACACTGAAAAATATGTGGGTTGAGATGTAAAATAAAGATTGTGTTATATGATGAATGTAATATCTGTTACAACATGAAGGGACAAAACAAGAGCAGATTACAATCGTGATGGAAAAACGAAACTATTTATAAACACGCAAGTGTTTAACTTTATTTTATCATGTGTTTAGAATATAAAGCCAGGGCATGCATATATACTTATATATAAATAGTTTTTCAGAATTTTAAGGAGATATCAGTGAACAATTAGTGCAATGTTATGGTTACTTTGGATTTAAACTGCAGTTCACTCCTTAGGTGGGCAAAGATACTCTGTAGCATTCTGGGATTGAATATAAACTGGCCTGAAAATGGTTATGCTGTATACTGTTGTAGTTTATCTACAATATAGTTACATAGTTGAAAAGAGACTTGTGTCCATCAAGTTCAGCCTTCCTCACATATGATTTTGCTGTTGATCCAAAAGAAGGCAAAAAACCTAGTCTGAAGTGCTTCCAATCGTGCAACAAACTAGGAAAAAGTTGCTTCTTGACCCCAAAATAGCAGTCAGTTGGCTCCTTGGATCAACAATCGTACACAACCCTTCATTATATTAAGTAAGTAGTTTATTCATCAAATGGTAAGTTGACTACTGACCTGTGTAATCTAAACCAAAATACTGGAGTTGGAGCAAATATCAGGTGAATTTTCACATTTAGATATATTGCCTTAAAAGGATACTCAAGACAGAATATTAACGAGGCCAAAATCAAATGTTGAATTTGTATTGATTCCTGGAGAGTCCCTTTAATTTTCACATCAGTATTCAACTCACCAGCCTTACTTTTAATTAATAACGAACATAAAAGTGACAGTAACTGCTGACTGCTTACAATCTAGCGTATTGTTTTTTTTAATTTTTCTTATTCTTATTCTTAGTAAAAACATTGAGAAAGCAGTTGCATTGTTATTAAGGAATTGATAAATTTGGTACCCAACTTTAAATTTTATTCTGGAGGTGAAAATAAAGCCATATGATAAGCCTGAAAAGTAAGATGAAGAGCAGGTAAGAAAAAATACTTATTTTAGAAGTGTAAATAAATGGACAGGTGGAAGACAGAGCGATCAGTCAAGCCATAGTTGCCGTAATCCATATGTAACATTATTAGTGAGCAGATCAGTCACCCAGCAGGTGTAAGTGGATGTGAAGATAATATTGCCAGATCTACTATCCTTTCCTGTTAACAGATCACATGAAAAAAAAGCAGATAAAAGAAAGGATCTATTTTTAATGCTGTGGGGTTTTTTTTGTGTATTTTTTTCCAGCGATTTAGTTTTATTTCCACCCCTAGCAATTACTACTGTGAGCGGTAGTAGGTAGATTATTTTTATTAGGGTGTGGAGTGCCTAGGACAGGGGTAGGCAACCTTAAGCACTCCAGATGTTTTGGACTCCATCTCCCATACTGCTTTTGTAGCCATAATGCTGGCAAAGCATCAAGGCAGATGTAGTCCACAACATCTGGGGTACTGAAGGTTGCCTATTCCTGGCCTTGGGTCTTGGGTACCCTAGTCAACTGAGGGATTATAGACATAGTTGTTTTGGGGGATTTTACAGTGGCAGACATTAGCCCCCTCCCAGAAATAATATTAGAACCTCTATCCATTGCCCATGGGTGGATGCTGGAGAGGAACTCTATTAATATAAAAAAAAAAACAATGTCCATAGGTGGAAGAACAAGGAGGACTGGTACCAGGTCATCCCTGTATGTTACTAGTGTGTTATTACTGTGATCAGCCACTGGCTGTTTAAAACCCCCCTTGTACTAGTTGGGGGTCATAATGACCCCCACAGACTTGTTTGATTATTAAAAAAACATTTTTTAATGTTGCACCACACAATTAACATTTGTGGTGGCAAGGTGTCCAATTCAGCTGAATTTTGGTTTCCCAATGGAATTTTGGCCAAATTTCAGACTGTTGAACATACTGCAGATTGCCGACCATTGGAGAACCTCAACAAAATGTTCAAGTTTACTTTGTTGAATTATGTTCTCTCATTCTTTCCTGAACAAATATTGAATTTGGCAACTCACTTGGAGAGCAAAACACCTAGGTTAGCAGCGGGATCATCTACAATGTACTTACCATTTTTTTGTAATGGTCACTACTTAGCTTAAAGACATAAACTCCTGGCTCTTGGAACTGGTACAAGAACACAAAATAAGGTCTTGAGGAAAGCCATATTTCCTCTGCTAGATTTCGGAATTTTCCCCAGTCGAATCCAGGATTAGAATTGTATAAATTGTTCCTGGGGGTATTGAAAGAACCGGGAAATTAATGTACTTTGTGTATTGTCACAAAAACTAACATGAAACTATAATTGGATAAAGCATAGGAAGATAAATAGATAAATAACCATGCTAATATTAATTAGTGTACATAAATATATGCAAGACAGATTGTATTGTGTGCAAGATGGATGCAAAAGGCAGGTAAAAAGATTTAAGTTTGGGCTTCATCTGTTTATTGAGGTTGCAGAGATGCTATAAACTATACAAATTTAAAATAATCTGTTTAGAAATATAGTCCCTGCTCTTCCTGTGAATCAGTTCTCTGCATTGGCTATACCATCAACTGAGCCACAGGGGAGAGCAAGAGAGCCCTCCTACATGAGCCTCTCGTGCTCTCTGGCACAGCAACTACAACTAGAGCTATAGTTTCTGTGATTATTATTCTAGCAAGTGCATCCTGCTAATCAAGTATCGAAACAAAGTGGCAGAGCAGGAAGTGAATCTAGCACTCATAGGCCATCTGTCTGATTCAGAGGAATCCCATCTCAGCTTTTCCCTGTTGGAATAGACATTAAAAAAAATCAAGAAAACTTTATAAAGAATAATCAAGCCAATACAAACGAAAGCAACATTCAATTGTCTGTGTACAAACAAACTCTTCAGCTTTAAGAGCAGAGTGACTGTCTGGCTTGCCCCATGGTGAATCTAACAGTGATACATGGTTTACATTACTTTGTCTTGTTGGTCTTCCACAGTGGTTGCCCCATTAACACTTGAGTTTCCATTTGAAGCAAACTTCAAAATTTCAGTGGTTTATTAAAACTTGAGCACTTCCACTACCTTTAAAATGTGTTTTCAATCAGCTATAATCCAAATGTTCTCATACTTTATTCATAGTATATACTTACACATCATACATGGGGTAGTCATGTTTGGAAGCAATAAACATGATGACTTCATTAACATGTATACATGTGGTTGGGTTCAGGATACCAGAAACGGGATAAAACGTGGGCATTCTATCTTCCCCTGTAGAATATTAGACAATAAAACAAAATGTTACAGTGTAATTCAATACATACAAAGTTCATTAAGAGCAATACTTAACAGTCATAGACAACCATGCTGTTTTGAAATAAAAAAAATATTCAATGGAACCACCTTACCTGTGAGTTTAGATAATGTGATATTGAAATGACCTTCGCTCATTTGTTTAATTAATTGTGGGTTTGCATTATATACTCCCAAAAAGCCTTGCCCTGCAATACAAAAAAAAAATAATAAAATCTATCTAAAGGCATGGGTGATTAACAACACCAAGTAAACAAGAGAGTTCTTAGAAAATTTCTGGTCTTTTAAGAAAGATAACAAATAAAAAAAAATCTTTTAAACTTGCTGGGAATATACATTATCATCACGTTCTAACATCAAAACAGAATTCCCAGTTATTTATAACTTACTCAGAACTACTTGTAGGAATGCAACCTCCTCCCCTGACATTTTTTAAATTTTATTTTATTACCTCTTCCCTGCTACTTACATGTCCAGGCATGTGTGATGCGTAGGAGCATTGCTGCAGTAGCCCGCAGCAATGCCCAATTAGACGGGACTTGCAAAATGACCTGCTGGACGTGGAACTTGGAGTCTCCTGGGCCACTTCTTCACTATACATGCCAACATATAGCCAGATACTCGTTATATATTAGGAATGTGAGGCCCAGTACCGTCTGCTTTCCCCCTAATAGTGGCCATGGATGTGACCAAAGCTAGAGCCCTTCCCAACAACCAGAGGCTGGTTGGCTGCATTGATTATTTATACTTCCACATTATGATTATCACTTTTAGCCAACCTGCTCCTGGCACTCATGGCCATTCACTTTTGTCCAAATTGGTAAAACCTGTCCCAACAAGAGAATGAGCTCTGAGACTATTGACAACATAAACTCAACATTGAGCATATAAATTAATTTTAGATAACATTCAGAAGTTATCATTTTAAAAGTTAGAATTCTAGGTGTATTTAAAGTGTATTTCAAATTTAAGGTCAAATTAGCCAAACTGGAAACTTTTTCAGAGTCAGCTTTGTTCTCAATTCATCTACTTGCGACTTAAATTGGAAATTAATTTGGAATTAACCTTGAATTCTCAATAACCCTGTTAATAAAAAGAGCACTTTAATTCACAATCTGATTTCTGGAAGATTGAGCCTTACCCGTGGATGCAACTACAAAGACAGAATGGACACTAGTTCTCTGTGAGGACGAGCATATCATCTTATCCACAGGGTGGTCAACTACGAGAGGTCCAAATACATCCTGCATTGGGAAAAGTGCCTGTAAAATCACCAATAAAAATATATGTATATTTTTAATAGCATTCAATTATCAGTTGCTAGGGTGACTAAGGTATTGTCATGCATATTTCATCTCAGGAGGAAAATATAATTTTTCCACTTGATGAATCAATGGCAAGACAACTCCATGAATAAGCTGCGCAATTTTAGGTACATGTTCTATAGAAGGATATTATGAAAGAGTGCAGAGGCGGGCTACAAATTAAATAAGGAAAATTTTAGTTATGAAGAAAGGTAACACATTTAAATCTGTTTAGTATAGAAAAACTATCTACGAGGGAATATGATAGCATTGTACAAATTTATTTGGGGACAATACAAACCATTGTCTGAAAATCTATTCATAAATAGGACTAGCCACGAGGTCACACATTGAGACTGGAAGAAAAGAGATTTAGTCTAAGGCAAAGGAAAGGGCTCTTTACAGTATAAACAATAAAGATGTGGAATTCTCTACCTGAAGCGGTAATTTTATCAAAATCTGTACATATGTTTAAATGGTAACTAGATGAATTCTTGCAAAAACATAATATACAGGGGTATTATATTTAATATTTGGGATAACATATGGATGACTGCCATTCTGGGGATTTTTTTCCTAGTTTGTTTCAAACTTGAAAAGGTCTTCAAAACTGTTCTTTTCATTCTTTTGGGTCAACAGCGGAAATAGGAAAAACTCCTATTTCAGCCTATGCAACCATATAACTGTTTAGTTCAGTTTGAGAGATTTTGGAATACTTTTTTATCAACACAATTCCATCAAATGAGAAACTCTAAACCCTCAAATGCCAGTTGAGTTAAAAAATTAGCAAGGTTTCTTTGATTTAACACTTTTCAGAAGGATACTGCTAATGTACCATCACAACATGCACAATGAGACTTAGCTGAATGCTGATAATGGTATGGATGTGGAATCTGTCACCTTCTCTCTCTTTTTTTTTGGTTGGGAGATTTTAGTTCTTGTATCTCAATCTCACTATTATTTAATGTTCTTTACCGTGTTAAAAGGTCCTTCGGGTCCTGTAATTCAATTTGACTCAAGCAAATATATTAATTCGTGTTAGTGCAAGTGGGTATACCTGTTCCCCCGATGAGTCAATGGCACGGATCTTAGGAGTTTCATCCACACACAATATTTGCAGTATGTGTTTTTGCCTCCTTTGGCATTCGGCATCGCAAAGGTTATCAAGATGTTCTGTCTGACAAATGCAGAGTCCTAGAACCTTATCATAACCTTGGAAATATTCTGGTTGCACACAGATCTACAATGGGACAAATTTATAGTGTGTAAATAAATAATATCTACCAATTCCTTTATATCCAAATGCAATATGTAATTATTCATTAATAATTGAGAAAACATATAGAATCTGATTCAGAAGATTTACTTAGGTTTTGCATTAATAATGGTGTCCATTTACACTTCCAAAACGAGTCCAAGCCCATACATTTCATTACCCCATGTTCACATGCTTACTTTGGAATGGAAGGCCCACAATTATACACAAGATTCTTCAAAGCCTGGCACAGAGTATAGTATACAGCTATTCAACTGGTGTTCTGTGGATATCAGTACTGGCACCTGGACTCTTTTAAACCCTGCAGGGCATGTGCATGTGGTTACAATGTAGTGACTGGTATAGAGTAATCTTCCCTACATTGCATTTCCCATCATTAGCTCTTAGAAATGAGACACTAAATGAATTATATTTTTAGCAGGGGTAGTCACTAAAGGGAGAATTCAAAGTTAATTCTATCTAAGTGACTTTTAAATTTAAGGCCAAATTAGTTGAACTAGAAATATTTGCTAAGTCAGCTTTGATTGCATTTTAGCTACTTTGAGCTAAAATTTGAAATTCAATTTGAATTCTCACTTCTAAATTAAATTTTTACCTACTAATAAAAAAATATAAAGAACAAACGATAGTTCTTTCTATGCTCCCTGTCAAGGTTGTAGCGGAAGCACTGCCCTGCGCTAATGAATCTTTATAACATACACTACACAGAACAACAAAAGTAAGGTTTATCTAAAATACAGGTAACTGCAATTGTCGGAGGATTCTAAGAAAAACGTACGTGGTTGTTTACGTAACTTTGTAATATTGTGAACTGAAATCCAAAACAGCAATTGCCCAAACTTTTAAGATTTGGGAAGTTTCTCCAACACATAGCTTGGCTATTTTAGCAGTAATTTTACCATTCAATTTATTTTCAGTTTGCTACTAATAAGTAGACTTGTGTACGGCGAGAAAATTCAGTCTTGCCAAAATATTTTTTCCAAAAATATATTTTTTGGGCCAATTTCTGGAAAAGATTTAGTAACAGAAAACTGACTTGGTCATTGAATTAGTCAGAAAAATGGGCCAATCAGTGTACTGCAAAATAAATACATATAATATGTACACATATTTAAGTACACTCATAGGAGCATTTTCCTGCCATTTGGTTTTCAGATCAAGAAAATTTTAATTGAGAAAAATGAACCAATAGAAGGAAAACCAGGAGGACTAGTAAACTATCCATATTCACGTATCATATACTTATTAACTATATATATATTAGAAAGATAGATATTTTTTACTGACCCTCTATTTTTCCATATTTTGGTTATTTTTCACTTGATCTGTGAAAAAAAGTAACATCAAGTTTTTATCCCCTAGCCATCAATAATCTTTTTTTTCCCATCAATTATCACTTTTTTTTTTTTACAGAATTCCGAATCACGGATCAAGGTGAACGTACTCGGCCATTGCATGTGTGGTTGGTTTGTCACTTGGCTGAATTTCAGCTTGGAGTATGACAATTTACACGGTCACCCGATCAATCCAAATTCAGATGAATTGCATTTGGGACCGAAAGGAAACTCCAAGTCTAATAATCAGAGCTTATTGAATGACCCTGTGAGACATATTTCTTAAAGTTTCCCTTTTCGAACTGTGAAGGGCTCATACAAGTAAGGATATACAAAACCACACTGTACCTTATAAAACTGTTATAAAACTACCCTACATGTGCATAAAACAATACTAATACTGATATTGTACCTGATTTGAGCAGTAGTCAGCCCATTCGTCTTCACTCAGGCATTGTCCCTCTTGGTTGCGAACATTTCCGTCTCTACATATGTCGTATACAATTTGTACACAGTTATTTGTGTCACCAGCCAGTCGATATCCAGGAGCACATGGGCAGCGACCATCATTGGGCTAAAATACAATATATTTATATTAATTTAAAAAATGTCACTTTTTGAATGCAGGGGTGTAGGTGTGTGTGGAGTTTCAGTGTGCGTGAATGAAACGACATATTTGTATATTGTAGGTCTGTCTCTATGAAAAAGAGGTGTACTGTATTTATTTATTTATTTATTTATTTATCTCCTTGAATGTAACACTTTAGGCTGTTCACCACTAGCCCAAAGTCCATTCCTCGTCATTCTAAATAGCTCATCACACCATAGCCACATAGCCATAGCCCTTTTCTGCACCCTGTACAGGCAGTAGCAATAGTAGTAAGTGACATTATCAATCAATGTAAACCTTGATCAGAGCTGCACCGATCAGTGTTATAGAGAGCACACACACTCCATGCAACTGTGTTCAATCCTCTAGCAGAGGCTTTGCTCCTTGAACCTCCATCTGTGTTCTTCTCAACCATGAACACAAATAGCAAACGGCACTTAGTGCAACTCACATAGGCTAATGTCCACTCATCACCTCGCAGAAGAAAGCATAACCTTCAATCACTTCTAGGCTTAAATAGTCTTAATTATACGTCTCTTGATATCTGTTGAGAGAATGGAGTACCTGATGCTTTTGCAGAAGTGCTTCCAGAAACTGTCCTTACACACAAAGAATGTAGAGAACAAAACTTTATTCTGAAATATATCTGCCAACTTGAAATGGAAGTTTTATACAATCCACAAATAATCCATATGCTCCGAGTCAAATTGTTATATTGTCAAATTTCTTCACTGACTACACAAAAACCTCACAATATACAAAATATAGGAGTATGGGTTTGTGACAAAAGAACTAATGACATTGCATGTTACCTGGAAAATCCGGCCTTCACCATGGCAGAGGCATGTGATTTGGCCCTCCTTAGGTTGCATTGCTTCAGACCCACATGGGAAGCAAGCCTTTTGTCCAACAAGATGGTTAAAGAAGTTCACAGGACACTCTGTGCAATGGTCTATTGCTTCTAATTCTTCCTCAGACCTGTAGGATCCTGCTGGGCAAGGAGTAACCTTCCCACCATCCTCAGAGCAGAAGTGACCTGTAGCAGCAAGAATAGTTATGATACTATTGGAGAAGCAGAGGTGGCACTGAGGAGCATGGAATTGGGAGATTGTTTAGTATAGGGAACAGAGCTTTCCCTGGCCCAGTGCTATAATATACATCTCCATCCTATTGTATCAAAAGATGGATATAATTAACCCCCGAAAGGTGTTCCATTCCAGCTTCCACCACTTGTTATGTTTTGTATTTTCTTTTGTTTTGTATAATACATTATATTTTATGTTTAACTTTATTTCTACTTTAGCGAGGATGAAGATACCACACACCCCACCTGGACCACAAACATCCTGCCTTCTGGTACGACTCTAAACTCTTCACAGCCTACTATCAATTGCACAATTTCTTGGTCATTATAGATGTTAGAATATACCTCCACCCACAATTGTAAGAGTGTAAGAAAGAGGAATTGTGTGTTATTTTTTTTGGCTCGAATGTAGTTTATGTAGACAATGTTTAAGTGAAATATGAAATATGGCTACACTAGTTATATGTATAACTACATAATTTATTGTAAAGGAAAATATTGTACCATATTGCAAAATCTTATTTTTGAAAATGTATATGGATGAATTTTTTAAAATGAAAAATAAAAATTTATTTAAGTAAAAAAAGAATATACCACCACCCCAAAGACATCATTGACCCCTACACACAACCCCCACTTAGCGGGAGGGAAAACACCTACTGGTCCACACTCTTTGTACTCCCAGTGTGTTACCGCATGTTTAATGTAAGAAGTCTTAATGTATCTGTGATATTATATATAACATACCTCGATGTACATTATCTTTTACAACTGTAGCTACCTATGTGCAGTGCAACACCTATTGCCAAAAATAAATAAATAAAAAAAAGATGGATATAAAATGCAAGGGAGAAGCAAAGAGCAGGTCAGAATTTATTAAAGATATTTAGTAATTTAATGTTTGTTTAGTTACTTTTTACTCCCACTAGATGGCAGTACAGCATGTTTAATAGCATTGGCCTTTTGTGTCCATTTTTATATATTGAAAAATGTAAACTTCGTTGAGTGACTTATGATGGTGGTTATGTCCGTGTATAAGTAGCATCAAATTACAAATCGTGCATAGGGGACCTAGTCAGGGCTGAATCAACATAGGGTCTCAGCAGCATTTCTAGGCTCATAATTGCTTACATAAAAACTATGCTTTTTTTCTTTTTAATACTGATGGTATTGATAATCTGCTGTATTATATTGCAAGGGATAGAAACTGGTCACCAACGTGTTAGTTTTCTAGCCTGGAGCACTATTATAAATATGAGGCTGCAAAGATGAACTATCCTGGTTGAGGTTTCGGGACTTAAGAGGGATGTGAAGAGCATCAACAAAGTGAGGTAGCTAATTTCCAACTAGTTTTTAACATTAATACAGTGTCCAGGTCTATAGCAAACTGCCTTTGGTCTACAGAGACCAAGTACGACTTTTTTTCTTTCCATAGACTGTATATAATCTTAAGCAACTGTGTGCTAACACACGTATCCTTATTGGTGTCCTTTATACAATGAGCCTCATATAATAAGATATTAATATTTTATTATATTGCTTATGCGTGAATGCTCTACCTGCTATTAATCATATAGTCTAGGGTTGTGTTTGTTTACCTTTTATCTATTTAACTATTTGCAATTTTATTCTAGTACTGGTTCACTGTATTTGAAAGAAATTAAAGATCAGAATGGGTTGGCTTATGGAACAAAACTAATCTTTTTATTTTAATAAATGCAGGTTATTAAAAAAAACAAACAAAAAACAATATCAACTGTAAACGTATGCACATGTTATACCTAAAATGCTTAGTATCCCTTTTATCTTTATGCACAGTGGAAATTTGATGTTATATAGTGTAGGGACCACCTTGTCTACCATATATTATATTATCATCCATGCATTTCCAACCAATCTTAAAAAGGCTGAGCATGTTTTTTTTTGTTTTTTTTTGCTTAGTACAATGTTGTCAGCCTAACACTCTCAGCCTACAATTGCTACCAGACGTCCCATGGATTAATCTGGAAGCGCCTTCCTGACTTGGACACCCAGCAGGTGAAAGACCACACTGTAGGAATTAGGAAGCATCAGGGTGTGTCAAACCACTCTAAAATGGTTTGTCACAAATCAGTGGTGGAGAGATGGGGGGTTGTCCACAGACTCCTTACACCATTACCAGGCCCGATTTCGCATTAGTTAGAGTAGACATCTGCTTACAGGTGTATATCATGTAGGAGGCACTGTTTTCAGCATTTAAAATATGTATTTTTTTAACTTCACTGTGCTGGTGGGCAGAAACAAGTACCAGAAGCCTTGACCAGTGTCCTCAGTAGTTCAGTTGTATGCTTGATAACAGAACTGCAGAATCCCTTATAGTGGGTGTAATCAGTTATAGAGCTGTCCCATTTCCTCCAGTGTCTGTATGTGAAGCTGAACAGGAAGTGGATGGAATCACTTCCTATCTGCCCACTAGTACTCTCTCACACAGAGAATGCCTTGCAGGAATAGTAGGGACAGCACTGAGTGATGCATAATGTATAAAACCTCATTGAGCTGGTCTTTCAATCATAAAAGGGTGAGTTTGTAAATAACCCCTAAATCAACATACATGTGCCATAAACAAACCCTGGCCACTAACCTAAATGTAACTCTTCCCACGGCCTAAAGAAACCTCTTTTTTAGTTCAAAATTCCGGCACTCGGAACACAAACACCCCTGTACCCAGATACTAAATGTAACCCTATTATAACCACAATAATCATGAACATTCACTTATACCACAATTATACGCCCTCTCAAACTTTTAAACCTCTTAACAGTAAACTCTCTATGTAACTCTGACATTATATCCTCTTATACTCTAACTCCCCCTGTACCCATAGCACTTCTAACATTATCCTGAACCCTGCATGCGTTTACACAGCTGCACACACTCACTATACTGACAGATTCAAAGACAATTCATTACAAAGAGAGTAGAAATATGTAGACATATGTTGTTGCCAAAAAATGTATATTTGTTTTTAGACATTTGCATTCCTGCAATATACAGTTAACACATTCATTAAACTCACTTCAACTGCCTTTTTTTTGTGTATGTGTTTGTGGGGGTGGGAGGGGGAATCTGGGGGCACCTAAAAGTGTTGTGCCTACGGACACCTTACATGTAAATCTGACCATAATTACTGCAATGAACGACAGTGTTCCTTAAACCAGGCCCCTAGATTACATTTATCTACATTTAAGGTAATATATATTTTTGAAGACTTAATATAGTTGAACTTTCAATGAACATTTACGTAACACAATAGACACATATTGCAGAGAATTAGTAGAACTGGTTTCTTTATGCCAAAGGGCTATTCATTAAACCCATGCAAATTAATTCTGAATGGCAAAACTAAGGCTAAAATCTGGAAAAATTCTAGAACTCAGCTAGAGTTACAGCTTGGTTATTCTTCCCCAGTTACTGAATAGCCATAGTTAGTAAGTCCAGTTCTTATGCACCAGCATTATACATATAATTTTTGACCAACTTTAGAAAAATTATAGAAATTATCCTTCCTAATACTGAGATAAGGTAGAGCAATAAAGATATGTGCAGTATTTTATGACAATGATCAATTAATTGGAAAAAATGCACTATATAAATAATAATCATAATAACTGTCTTAGTTTGGAAGCTGCAGCATTAACTAGGTTAGTATGTTTATCACAAAAAAGTTACAATAACAAAGTATAGTACACTATGTTCTAGTCTCAGTCACCTCCTCCGATACTCAAAATTCCAAGTTAATATATTGCCAAACCTGTTGATACAGGAATAACTCTATTAAAATTGAAAGCCTGAGCTATATAAATTCCAGGGTTTTTGGAAAACAAATGTGAAATTTATTGATGTTAGGCATTAATTTACTTGTAGTACCTACCTGCTGGACATAGTGTTGGGATAACCTGAGCTCTGGCACAATTTCCTGCATGTTCGCAACTTGAATTCCGAGGAAGTGCTTGCAAAGACCTGATGTTGCAAATTATTGCTAAATAAATAGAAACTAATTGGTATAACTGAGCCATTTTCTTCTGGCACCGAAGAATATCACCGTACGTAGTCCGCTGAAAACTCCTCTTAATAATTAACTGGGAGTGAAAGTGAATATTCCCCGTTTAAATATGTATGACATGAAATGAATACCAAGATGTTTCATCTGTCTGTTTACATTTGATGAAGACATTGTTTTGTAAATAATTCTTTGTGTGCTATATCTCAGAATAGATGCGTAGGCAAGCAAATGAATAATGGATAAAATAAACTCTAAGTACAGATGCCATACTGATTAGATTTAGACCAAACCTACTGATCCACTGGAATTAGACATGTAATGTACTATTCAAGTGAAAAAGAGAGAGTTTAGGCGCTCACTAAAAAAAACAAAAAGTGTATAAGGCAGCAGTGAACCAGCAGGACTTCCCAATGCCTGCTATATGGTGAACAGAAATGTGAAAATAGGAAAGGTGGTAAACTGCGCCAGAAAAATTTCAATTGATCATATCATACATACATACATACATATAGATCTCGGGTAGTACAGCATGTAAAAAACCTCAAAAAAGATAAGAATAATAAAATAATAGTGCAATATGTTTAAATTTTGAATGGTGTAATCTTAAACAGACTTAATTGTAGATAAAAGGCAAACTCACACTTTGCAGAGCTACTAAGAGCTCTGCTGTATAGCGCCTGGACAGTACAATCCCCGTCTTAAGATCTGTAGATGTTAGGGTGTCCAAAACTCAGCAACCATATAT